TGATGCTGATTTTGTCAACATACCGGTCCCTGGCTTCTCTATTAAGTGTATCCCGGTAAATTCCGGATCCTTTTTGGGACTTCAACATCGTTCTTCTCTTCTGCTTTTCCTCGTGCAAATACGTTAAGTCGGCGCTATGAAATTGTTAGCGTAGCCGTCAACATGGCAACCACGTCCCAGAATGCAAAGCGGATCCCGAGCCCTATACCAAATTCAATCTAATTGGATGGGAATCTACGTTGCATTTGACGCACCACTACAAGATGAATCGACAGATTCGGCGGTATTCATTGGCGGCAAATCATTGCAGCTTGGTGGCGGTGGCGTTAGCATAGTAGCATGGACGACGAGATGATTGAAAATGAACACAACGGAGATCTAGTCCTATTGGCAGACATCCATTTAAAATGTAGGCAACGGCATGAAAAAAGTGGTTTCTACTTTTACTTTTATACTTTAAGTAAATTTACAAGCCTGTACTTTGTTACTTTTACTTGAGTAAAGAAGTTTAATCAGTACTTCCACTTTTACCAGAGTATTTTTTAACACAAGTATCTGTACTTTTACTCAAGTACGGAAACTGAGTACTTTTGCCATCTCTGCCTACTTGTCACTCCTCCATAAAGGCCCCAAATTGTGATCCCAATAAGGCAGAGGCCAGAGGTTGTTATTGTGGTTGTGGTACCTTTAACAATCCTTTTTTAAAGCGTTACTTTCTACATGCCAAAGTCATTTTAACTTTCAAAGTTTTAGCTAATCAGACAAGTCAGATTGATATTGTGCAGCACTGTGGATGAGATCTATATGTTATTAATCTGGACTGCTCCCATAGAATCTATTTAGAGAAAATCCAGTTGGAGCTGTATTTTCTTTTCAGAATGAAGCTTCCTTGAATAACCCTTACTGGACCAATAGGTTTAGGTAGAGGGCCATGTCCTGGTAGATTTGCAGTTGTGCAATTGTCAGTTATAAAGACATCATCATTTACATACAAAAGGTAGTATTTTATTATGTTTTCTCAACAAAACTTCAAAGTATTGTATTAGAGATAGGATAGGTGTTCTAATGTGCCACATAATAGTAGATTGTTTAAGGCATTTTATTTAAATTATCATATTATTACTCGTATTGGCTCGCTGAAGCACGTCTAAAAACTCTGCTCCAGGTGAGGCTCGAACTCACAACCTCGGCATTGCTCTGCTGAATACTGTCATATAAGTACCGCGCGCTAACCGATTGCGCCACTGGAGCTTCAGCCGTCTGTGGTCGGAAATTGGGTTTAAGAAAATCAAACAACTTCGCCAAAACTGCGTTTATGAGGTGTCTTATTATTGTTCTTTCTCGGATTGGCGATACAGACCATATGAAGTCGGTGTGGGGGCTTCAGGTGGCCTCACAGCTGACTCTGATGCTGCATTCAGTGACTGCTGGGATAAATCTAGAACAAAGGGGTGGGGGCGTTTCTGTCTGTTTAGACTGAGACAAACTTAGTCAAACTTTATTGTAATTTTTTTTATACAAAACGAAAGTATACGAAAATTGGTAAGTATTTTAACAATTGCTGGATATGACCCTTTTTTTCAGTGTTTAGTTTCTGGTGGAAAGGAGACATGCATCCCTTTCAGAAAACTAATAAATTAACTAGAAAGAAATAATGAATTAACTATTTTCCTTAACATTTTTTAAATAAAAAATATTGGATATATATTTTTTAGTTTTTTTTTTCAATAATCAATGGAAAAATACTTTTGGGGGGATTACAGTAGCAACATTCCTTTCAATAATTGCTGACCACATTTTGCATGATTTAACTAATAGTTCGACCTATAATTAGGAGACAGGAAGTCACAGATCAGTAATTAAAAACTCATATGCTCTCTGACTGTCTATACTCTACAGTCCAGACTGTAAATAACTCTTTTTGTAGGTTTAGAGGCAGAAAATAAACATCTCTGCAAACCTCCCACAATCTTCTTTATCCTCTTACTATCAGGTAATTTTTGCATTTTTGATAAAATGACAGAAAGAGCTTCTTCTCCCCAGTCAGTCTCTCTGATGAACACAGAAACACGAGAGCCTGAAACAATACAGAACCATCATAATTTGTCTTCCTCTTTCATTTGAGAGAAAAAGAAAATTACATTGCATGCACCAAAAGTAAATTATCGTATTATATGTTTATTTTTCTATATCCTCTAAAGTTTTGCATGTTTAGGAGTGTAAATACATTTTCCAATGCTGATATATTTTAATTAAAGGCTGTAATTTTAGTTTTAGGAATGAAACACACTTGGAGATGCTTCTGGAGAAAATGTAAGGCTTTTTTCAGACCTCATTTTGAAAGATACATTGATGCAATTTCTCTTCATGCGCCTCAACATGTATAGGATAAAACACCTGTGGTATGGTTTCAAAGCTGCAAATGGAAAACCAAAGCAGCATCACACATTATGCAAACACACTTTGTGTGCGTGCACAGAATCCTACCGAGACCAAGGCAGCTCCAGGCAAGCTGGAAGCAAGCATTATTTGTATTCTGAGAACACACTGCCTTCCTCATCGCTGTGTCAAATTGCCATATTTTGTGGGGGCACTTTTTACCACGTCTAGTCCCACACAGTCAGGCCGCAGTGCTTCAAGCCCCCGCCCCGATCTGTCACACTTTTCCTGGATAGCAGCAACAAAGACAGATTACAGAGATGTATAGTAGGTGGCTGCTAGACAGGGGAAGATGTTATAGTGGCTCAGTAAATAAAACCCCAAAACAATGTGGAGTTTTTTTCTTTTTTTTTCTTTTTATTATTCTCAGCATATTCATTTTCAACACATGACAGACAGGAAACACTAACAGAAACATTTTGAATGAAGGAGAAGAAAATATTGTGACCTGTCGGTCCAAGACATGCCAGTTTTAAAACTCAGAATAGAAACACCTGAAGGCTGGACGGGCTGACCGACAACTTCAGGAGGCAACGCTGCAACAGAGCAAAACCTGACTGTTTTCATGATAGAGAGAAAAAAAGTCCAGATGAAGCTGCAAATATATTTCACCTCTAAAAGTTGAAGACATTGTGCCTTGCAAAAGTATTCGTAAGCACACTCGTATTGTGTCATAAGGGTGATTTTATGAGATAGATCAACACAAAGTAGAACAGAATTTAGAAGCATGAAGAAAATAAACTTTTTTGTATTATTTGACAGACAAACATCTGAAAAATAGGGGATAAATAAATTCAGACCCATTCTTACTTTGATGCCCCTAAAAAGAATCTGTTGCTATCAGAAAAAAATGGCTGTCCACACTGGAAAAATGATCCAGAAATAAGTACAATTTTCTCAAATGAAGTGTATTCACCCTTAATTTGAGTAGACAAATGAGATAGTGTGCCAGTGCGATGAGTATTTTCACTGATAGAATAAGATAATTAGATAATATGCACCTGAAATAAGACAATGCCATTTTTTTTTTGTTATTTTAAATGTAAATTTTCTCGTTCCATTGGCACTGACCTCCTCAATTCAAGAAAAAATACACTCATTTAAAGAAAAAAATTACTTATGTAGATTTACATTTTTTGCTGTGCACTGAAACCAACAATCTTAGCAAGAAGATCATAAGTGGCTCATGGTCAGAGTTGAGGAGCTGCAAAGATCCACTACTCAGCTTTTTATTTACTATGTTGTGTTGATCTATATCAGGTAATCAAAATTTATTTCAAACACATTGATTTAAACAGACCAATTGCTGAAGGTTTGAGGAGTACGATTACTTTTGCAAGGCACTGTAAATTGTAGCCTTGAAGGGAAATATGACGCTTCCATGCCCTTTTTTTTTTAAAGTAGCGAGATGCTTCAGTATCCATGTTTGTGGATAGCTACCAACAGAAATTGGATGAGAAAAAAGTACAGTTTTGTAATGAAATATACAATTTATTTTACATCGTTTTTTTGTACGAGACTGGTCCTAACAATGTGTTTTTCTTTTATCTGATTTATTTCAATCATTCTGTAACACTGCTCCTGTATATCTAGACAAGACTAAGCATGAAAAGCTGAACCCAACTGAAGACAGTCGGTTCTTAGAAAACTGCTTTAAACTCAGATTGCTGCAGCTTCATTATTCCCTTAATGTCAGCTCTGAACATTGGTTTCTTTTTTAAAAGCTTGAGAGAACCCCCCCACCCGCCCACCCCATGAAATCCCTATCAAACCCCATAGTTTTCCACCAATATACCTCCTAAAATAACTTTATACAAACTGATGAAACTTCACAAGAATTCACCATTAAAAAAAGAGAAAAGATCAGAGAGATCGGTGTCATTTTGTTCAGCCATTTAAAATAGGAACAGCAAACGGATCCCCTTATCTTACCAGGATGACCACGCCTTCAGTCACTCGCTCACATGCACTCAGATATGGCACACAGGTGCATCTCGATAAATCAGAATATCATAGGAAAAGGGGTAATAATTTAGGAAAATGTCATATTATAAAGATTAATAACAGATATAATTCGAAAATTGCTTCAGTTAACTTTTATGGCAATGACTTTCAGTCACTTCAGCTTTTCCTTTCTCAACTTTCGGTTAATATGATTTAATATAGCATTGAACAGCCAGCCACAGAGGATTTGGGTTTAATTGTCTTTGACTGTCTGCTGCTCGAAACCCCGTCAGCAGATTGTGTAGACAATAACATAACATGTATTTAAAAGTATTTATTTTTATGCAAAATGTATATTTAACTATAAAATGTAGATTGTTACCACAGTTATAAACATGTAAAAAGCTGTTTCCAGAGTGCTTTAAGAAAGAATATTACCTGAAAGTTGAATGGAAGGAAAAAGGTTTGTAAATATAAGCCATATAAGCCAAAAAAAAAAAAAGCCGCATAAAGAATGCAGCAGGAAAGTATTCATAGCGCAGCTCTTTTTCCACTTAGAGCCTCATTCAAAATGCTGTTGAAGATTGTTGCAAACTTATTACAAAATTAAAAAAAAATCTAACAAAAATAACATTTCCGTAATTAGGCACCTTTGCTCTATACTTTTAACACCATTATTATCAGGAATAAGGCTTTACTTGTGGAAAAAGTGCAGTGCTGTGAATGCTTTCTGGATGCATCTATATGACGATGACCTTTTTGTTTTGTGTGAGACAATGAGTGATATTTCACTGACCTTTCTCGAAGAAAAGATTCGCTATACCAGATTGTTGAAAATATGCTAATTTCCACCTGTAGTTCATGCGCAGGCTGATAAAGACTAAAAATCATCTCTAAAACATGTCTTCCTCTTTGTTGAAGATAATTATTGTAACATATTCTAATTCATTGAGATATAGTTGTAGAAACACTTTAAGAAGTAATTCCTAAAGGACAGGAGACAGTTTGCAGTCAGGTTTGTGTTTCTATTGCATCAGGGCTCATCACGCATCCATCTGTTGCCAAACAGCACATTGAATCATTGTGACGGGTCATAATTCTGTTTATAGTTTTCAAAGAACTGAGGATGTATTTAAAGAACAGGTATGCAGGTGCATTTAGGAGAGTCCGATGGGGATCGATCAGTCATGGATGACGATGGGGCCCCGCATCCTCAAGCTGGGGTGAGGGTGTGGAGGGGCCAGAACTAGCCCCTGTGGGGGACCGTGGGAGACCCTGCGCAAGGTAATTTGCTCACAGGGCTGTCGACAGGCGTGCCTCAACTGGGAGCGGGAAAGCAGCCGTCGAGCCCTCCTGGAAAGGGGGAGACGAGAGGAAATACGAGTCAGGGGCGAGAGTAAAAGAAACATCCTGGTAAAAATTTGTAAAAAAATAAGGCATACAGTACTGGTCAAATGTTTTTAAACATCCCCATTTTTTCCAGCTTTTGGCTGAAAATGATTAAGTTTAAAGTCTCTTTAAATAATAATAATAATAAAAAATAGGGATAGTCAATTAATGGCAATCTCAATATAATAGCAATTTACCAAAACACTATCTTCAAGTCGCAGAGAAACTGAATTTTAAGCACGCTGTATTTAACAAGAGTAAGACACAAAATTTCTCACACATGCCTATGCTAAAACAATGGGTTTGTCGCCACATATAAAGGTAGAGAGAGTGGCATCTTGCACGCAGATCCTGCATGCAAGTAGAAGATCAGTGAACAGATTACAGTAAAATTGTGCAACAATAATCTCTTTGCAAGGACACTTTTGAAAACTGAAACCCTGGGTGGAATGTCTACAAGCTTGGGGTAAGATCAAAGGAAAATCCCAGTTAAATCGCAATCGCAATATTGGTTAACAATAATCACAATTTAGATTTTCGGCAAAATCATTCAGGACTATAAAAAAAATATGATTCAGTTTATTTTAAATGTATCCAAAACTCATTAAAGTAGTTGTGTGTTAACAGATATAGCAGCCGGAAGACACAGGAACACACTCTGAATTCATTCTACATTAGAAATCCAAAATGTCTGGTTTGTTTTCACTATTCAGTTTATCCAAGCACATCTGGATGGGGTTTAGGTCTGGAGGCTGTTCTGGCCGCTCTATGTTTTCTGGCTACCATCTTGTTCTATTCCCCTAAAGTAGTTCCTTCATGACTTGCAGTGATGTCTAGGGTCAGTGTAAGATGAACCTCTGACCAGTAAGTTTACTGTGTGCTATCCTCTAGTCAGATACCACACAGTAAATTCCACAGTGTTAAATATGTAGTGTCAAATTATATTGATTCTTTTAGAATTATTACAACAACTGGAGCAAGATATACACTATATTGAGAGTTATTTTAACACTAATTCAGAATAAGACCAAATGCACTCGGACTGGTGTTAAATTTAACTTTTAAAGTGTTACTTTAACACTGCAAATTTTGCTGTGCAGAAGAAACTACGTGGTGCTGCAGAATGCCATTAGATAGTTTAATATCTATTGAAGGACTGAGTATTTTATTAATATTTATTTTTTATTTCTTTAATCTAATTTTGTGTTTTTTTATCCAATTTTCTTCCTTCCTTCTTTCTTTCTTTCTTTCTTTCTTTCTTTCTTTCTTTCTTTCTTTCTTTCTTTCTTTCTTTCTTTCTTTCTTTCTTTCTTTCTTTCTTTCTATCTATCTATCTATCTATCTATCTATCTATCTATGTAGTAATGCTCTTTTGAACTAATTTTTTTCATGCTTAAGGCAAAAGTTTTACTATATATTTCCTCGGTTTAGTTCACATAATTTTTAGAAATGGTAAGTCTAGGGGCTAAAAACTGCAGCATTCAGGCCTGCAGGACTATAAAGAATAGAAACAGACAAATAAAAGCCTTAAAAAAGGCTTTTAAATGGGGACAGATGCAGCGTAGAGTCAGCTGAGGCCTTGGTGCCATGAAACAAAGAAGCTCTTAGCAGCCCACTGCGACCACCGCACTAAACCTAAGACTGCTAGCCGCAGTGCTAATGGAATTCGATTGGAGACGAATACGAGGTAGAAGACCACAATGTACAGGTGATAATTCATGGTTTCCAGCAGGTCCTTTAGGATTTCAAACTCTTTGAATCCTTTTGTCTTCACTCAATAGATACAGCCTCCCATGGCAACACTGTGAGTGGGAATAGGTTCTGCTGCTGATAAAATGAGCACATTACGTTATAAGGAAGCATTTCCAAGAGAAGCAAGCATGCATCTGAATATTCAGGCAACAAATATAAATCTGGACACAGACCGTTAAGGTGCAACAGGCATGCAGATTAATGATAGTGGGTTTTTCTTTGCATTTTAAACACATGCATCTACTGAGGGGTTTTGGTGTATTTTAGTGTTGCAGGGGATGAAAAGAAGCCAGGATTTCTCTTGTTTTGTTAACTTTTAGCAACTAGGGACTCTGAAAGTAAACTTCAAGAATAAGAGAGGTAAAAACAGAGTAGAGTAGAAAAGAAAAATCCTAATCACTTGAAATAATTAGACTAAATTAGATACTCACACATTTAAACCTTTTCACAATAAATCACATTTAAGTCATAAATTTTTCTAATTGTGTGACATTTTCTTTTTGCTGCTGTAAACACCAGAATTTTCCCTTGTGGGACATAAAAGGATTTTCTATTCTATTCTATTTCAGCCAAAGACATTTGTGTTTGTTGACTGGTGGGGGTGGGGGTTATATATTAATAGACTAACAAAAAGTAAAAAGGAAGCAACTAATTAATGCTCCTACTACTATTTAATAAGGGGTGCATACTTTGATATCACCCCTCCTAAATTTGTTATGTTGTACCATTTCTTAGTGCAAATGCAGCTTTCAACTTTGCACATCGAAGGACTGATATTTTACCCCTTCATTCTATGCCAAACGGCTCTTGCTGTATGCTGTATTGCTTGATCCTGTAACAGATTATGATTGGATTTCATTCTGGGCTTTGACTAGGACACATGGAAATATGAAACTCTAACCACTGCCATGGCCCTCTTGGGCTTACAGCATTTTGAAAGCAGGGCATAATGACCAGTTTTGCTCTTATGTGACCAGAGAGCCCTCTTTGACTTCCCTGCAGATAGTTAAACACAAAACTTGGAAGATTGGGTTGTTTGATTTGTAAGATGTTTAAAGCTCAGGATACCATTCCATAACTAAACCTCTGAACTGTTTGCATCTTTCCTTGGTCTCAATTATGTTTATTCTTTGTTTGTTGACTAATGCTCTTAATAAAAGCCTTCAAAGAACAACCACAGTTATAATGACTTTAAATGACTGCTGGAGACAGTTGAGATTATATTTAGGGGTGTCAGAGTTAAGGAAGTTAATACATATGAATTTTAATTGCAAAACAAAAATGAGAACATTTTCTTGCACTTATACATTAAATTAATGACTATTTAGAATTGGAGTATTAGAAAAACTCTACATCAAATGCATTGACATTTTTGGTTTTAACATGACAAAAAGTTATAGGGGTTTAAAAACGTTTGCATAGTTCTGAAATAAGAATGTTTTTGTCATATAAATTTCAAACTCATGTACTCCGTTTTATGAGGGCGAACCGGAATATAAGGAGGAAATCAGTTGTATATTATGGCCCGATTTTAAATGTCTCTCTTTTCATCTTTTATGCTTCTTTCTGACACAGCTCTGTCTCATAAAGCACATCTTATTCCACCTCACAAGGTAAATAGCAAAAAAACTTCTCATCATTTTCTACCCCATGAAACAGAGCGTTCTTCATCATGCTGACACAAAAAAGAAAGGGGGATGTGAAGAGAAAGCAGCTTCCAATCATCCTTCATCAGCATCAGAGCAGATCTTTTATTCAGGAAGGCATTAATTGTTACCCTGGGTGACTGAATGACGGGGTGATATAACCGCTTTACAGGCTCAGAGATTGATGCTGTCTCTGTCACACATCAGCACACAGTGAGTGAGTGATCCATGCGAATGCAGCCACGGTTAATGCGGTAATGATATTTCCACGCTGGGCCTTGGCCGGTGCCTGGCTCCATCTGCACCCAGTTAGCTGCTCTAATTTTAGCCGAGGTGGTCCAAGGGCGGGCGGCTGTGGGGGCCGGTGCCATGGCTCATTTAGGCACAGGCTTAATGGGGGAACATCTTTCTTTGGCACATACAGGAGCTCACCATTTGGATTAGCTTCAGACACACACACACATAGGGACAAATTGTGTGTATGAAGATAAATGCAGATTTGGTTCTATTTATTAATTTCCTGATTTTTTAATTCTTTATTGTTTTCCATAAATCTTTTTTTTTTACCCCATGTTACTTTATTTACAAGGTGGGAAATTTTAATGAAAAAAATGTGTTCCTTTACTTCACAATTTCATGACAAGGATAAAAAAACAAAAATATTACAGAAAGTAGTACGGTATTATCTCTAACCATGTAATCACACGGTAGCCTACTAACATAGCAAGTCACACTATGTTACTTGGTTTATTTGGTGATTACCCCAAAATTAAGATACATCATTTCAGAGTAATTAACTGCATGTAATTATTACAATTTTATGTTACTATGTAGCAATTGAGACTTTTGGTGAGTATTTACCTTTAGGTTACCACATAAACGTTTCTATTATTGGCAACCACCTACCAATGGCTTACAAAGTAAATTATAACTTATAATCAGATAACTAAAGCATTATAAAACTGAGTTCAAGTTACATACAAATAAAAGTTTAGTTAAGGTTTTCTGTTATATTTTTATATTTTCTGTTATATGCAAAGTTATAAACTGCATTTTACTTAATAATAAGACATTAATTTATTGCTGTTGATGATATGAATATGAGTTACTTGGTAATAAATGTTTGAAATCTAAGAAGTCTGACTTTACCTTGTCTACCTAAAATTTTGAAGCATTTTTTCTTGTTCCCTAGCAACATAGAGTAACTTTCTACGTTATTACCATGTTATTGATGTTCTGGAAAAGAAAGAGTCACCATTTTTTTATTTTTTTTTTTACCTTATATCAAAGTATCATCATCCAAATCAAATACATTTAAAAAAACTTATTTGGGAAGAATGAACAAATTTGGCTCATTTTATTCATGAATGTATTACCTATAAATTTTTCTAATGTACTTCTATAAGGTCTTAACATAGGAGGAGAGTAAATTAATATATAACTCTCACTTCATTGTGTGTTGATAATTTTTACTGCTACTTCCTGTCTTCACACATAGTTTTTTACATTTTTTTTTTTTACAGAAAGCAGAATAGTACATTTTTGATGAGTTTGGATACATGATGGACAAAAAAGAGCTGCTATTTAAGACAATAACAAGACCCATCAATGCATTCAAATATCTTGCAGTTAAAAAAACAAAACTGGAACAGCAACAAAAAACACCTTTTCCCCCTACCTCCATATAGTTGAGTCAATTTCATCTATCCTGAAAGTAAAATCCTTCTAGTTTACAAGGATTTGATTAAATCTCCCCAATAAAATCCATCTTTCATGTCCTGCATGAGGAACTTTTTTTATTCTGCACTAAAATGCACTGGGCTGCTCTGTACTAAAAGCTAATATCACATTCTTATGATGTCGTGTGGCCGCCCAGCAGCTGAAATGATGTTGACGCATCACAAGCTGCACTAATGTTATAAAATGGGGCTCATTTTCATTCTCCTAAGTGGCTGAAGTGGGCAGATTGAGGTCAGAAGAAACAGGAAAGTGATGTGTATTGAATGACACTGACAGAGGAGATCCTATGGCTAACAATAATGTTTATCAATGTCAGTAAAAGGGAGGAGCTGGGGAGATTATGGGATTAAATATATCCACTCTCTGTTCTAGATTTTAAAAATGACCTGAATTATTATACACTAATTGTTAAAATGTGATTTTATGCAAAATAGAGAAATAGAATATAACAAAGAAATGTTTATCATATCTACTTTGGAGCATTTACGTCCTTAATCAGGATCTCCCCAGATGTAATGTCACACCAACTCCATTAGACGCAACTCCTGAAGAAATGAATCCATTTCTATGATATTTCCTTCAGAATATTTATTTTTAAGATGAGCTGTCCAACCCTTTCTAGTGAACCAAATAAGTCAGGTTTCTATGATTCAAACTGGTTGAAGCAGTCATTTAAATTTAGATTTTTTCCCCCAGGATTGTTAAAATCGATTTTGTTTTTTGTCTAAAGAAAAATCACAAGTTCTTGATTGTTTTTAAAGGTTTGATAACATTTAATATCCAAAGCTCCATTTAAACATGTTGGGGAGTCCCTTCTGCCTGTAAATACAGTAACCACACCGCATCCTGTGAAATTGGATTTAATTTCCATTTGGGAAACTGGAAAACATCGAAATCAAAATAGGTCCCTTTTTCTTGGTAATAAGTATTTTTTTCTTTAATTGTGAAGGTAAATGAAACACTTTGCCACTGGAACAAGACAATTTACATTTAAAATAAATAAAAAACATCTGCATTGCCTTTTTTCAACTGCATTTTATCTAATTATTTTATAGTGAGTAAAAATACTTATCCCATTGGCAGTTCATCTTATTTACCTGCTTAAATTACGGGTAAATACACTTAATTTAAGAAATGTTTAAGTATTTCTAGAATCTAGAACGTTTTTGCAGTGGATTAATAATGTATATTAATTTCACTTTTAGTTTTTTCTCAAAAACTTGTATGTACTATTTTGGTAATTTTATGTGATAGAGAAATACAAACAAGGGGACTAGACTAAGGACTAGGGATGAAAATAATTTAAATAATTCCAGTCTGGGTAAAATGTTTAAACCTTGCAGATGAGTAGGTTAATAAAACTTTAATATCCCGCCCACCAGAGCTAATTTGGCAAACAGCCCAACGCTGTATTATCTATCCTTAGAAAGTCCACCTCACAATGAATTACATTTTGAGCAAAGAAGAAGATGATTTTCTATTTTTCTGCATCATGATGACTCCATCATTTAGTCTAAATCAACTGGGAAGTACGTTCATAAGAGGTAAAAATTTACTTTTTGGTGTCCAGAACTAAATTAAAATATGTCTGAGTTGACCTGCAGAGGGCTGTGGACAACTGAAGTCCTCACTGTAAGAGAAACTTAGAGAACATGTTGAGGTAGAGTGAGCAAATAGCAAGTCAAAAAGTGGGATCATGAATGACTCCAACTGGAGAAGATCTCATGTTTTTTTGGAATCAACAGATGCTTCAATAAGGTCCTACATTAATAGTGCACAGTTATCAATCTAAGATAGTTTAGTTGTTTTTGGTTGTATATTTTTCATTTCATAAATGAGTGATTCCATTGAATTATGTTTTCAAGGTGGAAAAACTTTAAACATATTTTGAATTTTTGGTTTCTTGCATAAAATCCAAAACCCTTTTCTTTTTGACGCTGCTTATCTGTTCTCACTTTGAGAGCTACTTTCCTTTCACACACACACACAAACACAGAGTAAAGTCAATCATGTGTCAATAAGGGTCACCTTTGCTTACCTGGTCTCCCGGGTGACGAGGAAGAAGCTGTCATCGGGGGCATCGATCCAGTTGGGGCGTCTCTTGCGAATCATTACTCCTCCTCTGGTGTTTCCGCTACTGCTGCGGCCATTGTGCTGCAGAAACAACGGGTCCAATTGTTTAACTACGACCAGAGGAGATGAGGATTTGCAGTTAGAGCTGCAAATAAGTCTACTTACCATGAGAGGTCCTCCTGTTGAACCAGGGTTTTCTATAGAGAATATAAACAAAATCCAAGATTTGAGAACAATACAAATTAAGCAAGTCATACAATCAACATGGAAGAATATGTTATTTAAGAAAAACACTTTGGAGTAGAAGGGCAGATTTACACATGCTGGGTCTTTGGAGGGATTTGTAAACTAGAGGATGGTGCAAAGTTACTGTGTGAGAGTAGAACTTAATTGATTGTGTCCATTTTTCAGTGTTTTCAAAAGAATCATGCTGAAATCCTGAGAAGAAATGGATAAGGGTGTTCAGGAGGAGAAATTCCCCCACAGCGGACATTTGGAGGAACCCAGGTGGAAAAAACAAAAACCATAAGAAAATCTATGTTTAGAGGAGTCAGGAAGTGGCTTTCAAAGCAAAGAGCAAACATGGTGGGTGGATAATCATGCTGAGGAGTTTAGTGGAAAGTGGTTCTTTTCAGTGCATTTTCCAAAGCAGATTCTGCTGCTTTGGACAAATACATATAGGTTCCTGACTTTTCTTTTTTAAGAGCAAGAGACTTTTATTAGGAATGCTAATTGAAATAATTAAGCACTTGTTATCCAAACTCTACTGCTTTAACAAAAGCAGATTGAAAAGTTTTTCTTTGTTTCTTTCTTGATAAAATCTTAGCACCATGCATATCTTTCCTTCAATCTTGTACAATTTCCCTCAGTTCTCACTCATAAGTTCAATGTGTATTTTTCCCCCCTCAGTTTGGCTTCAGGCCATTATAGCTTTTATGGGTGGAATTAATCTGACCTCCAGCCCCGTCGATGTCCTCCATCATAGTATGCATCATCGTTTAGGAGTGTGTGTGAATCTCCTGGCCTTTTAGTGGTTGACATAATTAATCTTTCAAATTTATCCACATCAGTGCTGAGTGTTATTATTCCATTGCTTAAGGTCAATGCTTTCAAATAGCTTACCTTTCTTATTAAAGCTCCTACCAACATTCTGTCATTTTAATGTTGATTTTTACCTATAGCAAAAGCTTATTAAAGGTTTCAATAAATGTGGTAGAGTTAAGATCTAATTAGAGGCATTACACATATGAGCTGTGGTGTTTAAATGTGTGTATATATGCTGATACATCCCTCAAATGTTCAGTTCAGGGAGAACATCTTGAGCTCAGATATCTGGAAGAAAGCCCTCCTCCCGTGTACCTGAGCGCCTCTCCAGGTCAGCAGTGCTGTGGTGGTGGTAGCTGCGTTTTCCCAGCATGCCGTGTGGGCCGTGGGGGAGAGAGGAGAGGAGACGGCGAGGAGGTGGCGTCTGCAGGCCTGCGGTGCGGTGGGAGCGAGGGGCGTGAGCCATGGGACGAGACTCTGGAAGAGACACCACACACTGCAGCTGCATGAACTGGCTCGTTGAGACCGTCTGAATAATTGATGCTCAGACGCAGGACTCAGGAGTATAATCTGATCTGTGCATTTACCTAGGAACTGCAGAACACTGGTCAGAGTACTCCTTTGGGCCGCTCTTGTTTTGGGTAGCCGGGTCCCCTGCCCCTCTGACACCCTTAACATGTCTAAACCAAACACACACACACACATATGTAGGTTTGTCTCACTCATGCCCTCTAGTATTTACTGAGATCCTCTCTGATTTTACCAGTGTTTATGAAAACGGAATCTTCTGATGTGAATGATCACAGGATGCAGGGGTTGAAGTATTCATGGCTTTCAGGGATGCATGATGACAAAAAAACAACAAATGTGGATCCATGCATTTTCATGCAAACTCGACAATAAAACATATTAATAAATGTACATTGAAAGGTGAGGGAATCACAAAAGGAGAAAAATGTATTGAATGTTGCGTACATGCTCAGAAAGGATGCCTGGTGTGTGTTCCTCTGTCTGTGATGGAGCTGATGGACACAAAACAGACACATGAAGCACAGAGACCCAGACGAAATGCTTTCAGGACTGACTTTATTGGAGATGTATCCTCACATTCACACAGTAATGAAAGTAGAAAAACAAAATCAAAAGGAGGTGGAATATGAGCTGAGATTATTGCAACAGTTGTTAGATGAACAATGCAGAGGAGGAGTGGAGGTAAAAAGGAGGAATGAATGGAAAAATTGAAAATCCTGCATCCAGGATTCACAAAACTGAGGTTTTAAAACCAATCGTGCATGATCTGAACACAGGAAACGAGCCAAGTGAACAGGTCTGTCCCACAGTGAGGGGACCTGTTAGGAACATGGAGCTCACCCTGCAGAAGTATTCACACCCCTTTTAATTTTCCTCACATGCTGCCACACTACAAGCAGACACTTTATGTTAAGACTAATACAAAGTAGTGAATAGCTAATAAAAAAAAAACTGAAGGAAAATCAATTTTATCCTTTTTTTTATCCAATACCCATAAATAAAATGACTAGATGTCACCTCATTAATAAGTAAAGCCCACTTTTGAGGTCTGTTAGAAAACATTAATGAACAAACCTCATAAAGACTGAGGAGCCCATCGAGACAAAGCTGTCAACGTCAGACTGACAGACTAGGTAGAGAGAGAGCATCACTCAGAGGCCATCATTATTCTGGCATAACTGCAGAGATTGTAAGCTGCATTGGAAGAATCTGACAGGGGTTAGATGGTGAGATGAGGCTAAAATTGAACTTACTGGTCTAAACTAGGCTAGTTGTTATATGTGGGCGAACCCAAATGCTGCATGCATCAAGTAGCTCCATACCTTTTTCAATGCTTTTCAATGGAGGTGAGAGAAAGCTGGTCGAAGTTAGAAGAAGAGGTAAATATAGGGTAATCCTGAAGAAAAAAAAACCTCATAGAGGCTGTAAAAGCCTTGAGACTGGAGCGAAAATGCAGCTTCCAAAAGGTCATCAAAACCCAAACAAATCTGGAGCTAAAATCAGAGCATTTATTACCATTATGTATAAAAAATAAAGAGCTCATACAACCTAAAAACCATAAACACACCGTTACCATCAACATGGTAGAGGCAGCATCATGATTTGGGGATGCTTTTCCTTAGCAGGCACAGAAAAGGAAGCTGTTAAACGTTGGTAGGAAGATGGATGGCGCCAAGTACTGGAAAATTGTGCAAGACTAGAATTGGGTGTTTAATATAAATATTCATAAAATTATGTATCCTATCAACTAAAATCTCAATAAAAGAATACTTTTGCAAGGTACACATGTTCTTTCACCATGAGCCTCAACTCAGTCAATCCAATCAAAATTAATCTTTTCTGATACAAAAAAATGCATGGGTGTAAAAAAAAATAAAACTGTGGAGCTGAGGTTGAGTTTTTACAGCCAACATTTATGTTGCAGTCATGACGGGACAGATGGGCCATGCAAAATAGAGCATCTTAGTAAAATACATTTTCTCTACCTGGGACTCCAGCAAATACATGGCTCAGACAACAAAACAACCCCCCCCAATGGAAGGTGCTTTAACATGGTTGCTACCTGCATGAGGATTTTTTTTTTTGTGTAGATCATTTAAAAATGTCTGTGGGTAAAAGTCCTCATCCTAAATGTGTGTGCGACTCCATTAATGATTAATGCAACAGAAAATAAAAACATAAAAAACACAAAAATACAAATGAAAAGATGATCAAAACTCAGTTATGGAGGACAGGCAGTCTTTATTGGAAACAGGGTGGGAGAATACAAAAACAAAATAATAACAATAATAATAAAAACAGAACGAGACAAACAAGGGCAGCAATGGTGGCGAATGGTGGGGAGGTTGGGGTGAGGAGAGAAGAGGAAGGAAGGGGGTGGGTGGGTGGGGGTTGGATTTGTGTGTGGGCATGTGGCAGAAGTTAGGAGGAATTGAAAGAGCTCTTACACTCTGCCTTTATGGCCCCACAGTTAATGGGGACAAAGGGCCGGCGCGCGGCACGGCGCAGCCTGATGACGTCCCGGCACATGTGCCGGGCCAGTTTGGTGAGGCGGGTGGCCTGCAGCAGGAAAGCCTGCTTGGTCTTCATGGAGGACTTGGGGCTGCCGCTGTTCCTCATTGGTACCATGTGGTTGGATTGGCGAGGAACGTGACTCCTGGAGCGAGGCTCCTACAAATTGACGGAGACAACAGAAAGAGCAGAACGTTTAATTAATCTTAGACAGGTGCCATTTTGTTTCCATTTTAAAACTGATCTAAAAAGGGGCTAATGTAAGATGGTCAAAAGGATTACAACCTATAGAAATAAACATTTCACATAATTAAAAAAAAGACTCACTTAAAATAAATCCGAGTCTGCTGAGTCAGTTCCTACACTTTCTCTAGGTCCACAGACCAATTAATGGAAGGACAGATGAATGGAGGGCAAAGAGCATCACAATTCAACAATTAAATCACGTATGAAATAATTATTTAAATTAAACCTGGAAAAAAATCTAGAATTTTTTCAATAGATATACAATTATTTATAAGTCTCAGTAAAATTGACTTTAGTTATTTAGAGAGAGTATTTTTTTTATTTATTTTAATGAGTAAATATAAGTATTTCATGATTTAACAAATTATGTACTGTTCCTGCACTGAAGGGCAACATGAGTTCATTCAAACTGCACATCCATCAAGGTCAAAGAGGCGGGACCAGCGCTGCTTCCATAGTAACCCTGTCGTCTCATTGGCCAGAAATTTCTACCTCGTTTTCTTTTACTTTTAAGTCAGGAGAAAAGTCTTCGACTTTGATGGATGTGTGACAGTTAAAATCAGTTCATGTTGGGCTTCAGTGCAGGGAAACTCATTTATTTTATCATGAAATAATGATCAGTTCTTTAGATAAAATTAGGCCCATTTAATAAATTATATATGTATTAAATTAATTCTGTATTTATTCCTGTTAATAAATGTCTGACACGTAAATAACGATTTCATTATATATTTATTCATTTTCACCCTCCATAGGAAAAAACATTTCCATATGTAGCCATATTTTCTATACAAGTCTCAAGCTCCTGTCACACTGTGACAATTTAGATCAGCGTATGCCTGACGTACAAAAAAATCTGGCAAAATGCAGCCGTACGTTTTGTATAAGTTATGAGTGCTCTGAAAAATGCTGACACTCGTCAACATGTGGCGAGTATGCCGAGAATTTTTGAGCATGCTCAAAATGTCGACGTATCTCATACATGGGCCATAAGTTACAGGTAAGTTATTTGATCGTTGACATACATTCAATTAAATTTTAGTTACTCTGAAGTTGTGGTGTCTAGCTTATCCAAAACCTATGAGTAAAATGTGCATAACTTATCTAAAACGCATATCAATGTATTTGACGTGTTCCAGACGACTGCTGAACATGTTTCTAACATACAGCTACTGTTTAGTAGCGTATTGGCAGCATTTTGATATAAGAGGGGGTTTACAGGAGGAAACAGTCAGTACCCCATCATAGGGTGAGTGAGAAGGTGTGCGTGATGGATCCTCCCTGCATTCACATCCCTCCCTGCAAACACATCTTTTTATGCAGGCCGGGCACATTGCTGCCCCCCTCAGGACACTGGCTTGTGCATCAATTCATGTGCATTACGCAGCTGTGCGTTTTAAGTTAGGCTGTCGTTTGACAGAAGTTCTGGACTCATTATAAATACTCTATGTATACGCCCAAAAATTGAAAAAATACACAGAAACTTCAGCGTGTGCAAGCGTTTTTTTTAAGATTCCAGGACGTCGGGTATATGCTGGATAATCGGCAAGGGGTGACAGGGCCCTAAGTGGAAACTTTGAATTGATTTTGAAGTCATTTTTAAATCTTTTTTACATCGGTACCATCCTTAGCGGGCCGGTTATACCAAGGATTCTTTACTAGACAGTGGAATTACATTAATAGGGTCTATTTTCCTGCTGTATTCGCTTTATGCAGATAAAGCTACAGTGGCTGACTGTCCTTTCAGGTTGCTGCCTTTTCCTTTTCTTTATGCTACAAATGATTCATTTCCCCATTGTAGAAGACCTAGAGAACATATTAAAAGCCAATATGGGAAGTACAAGAGGCTGATAGCTTACTGAATAATTGATGCTTACTGAGGACATCACAGACATGTTGTATTGGTACAGTCACCCCTTTACAAGTGAAGGATTTTTACTTTTTCTCAATGGGTTTATTTGAACCATTTTCCTTTTTTATTACGTTCTTTAAGGGTCTTTCTCTACTTTTAAAAAATTACCAACAGTCTACTGCCTTTTAAAAAAATTTCATTTGTCTGGAACTTACATTGGTTGCAGGAGTTGGGGAGGTCCTCTCCTCTGGGGCCTCAGCTCTGCTTGGCATCTTCAGACCGCCGTACTTCTTCCAGTACATCCAGCAGGAAACGCACAGGCGGCACTGCATGTTGGGAGGGCCCCACGAATACCACTGGGCCGACTGCATGGCTGTAAGGCACAAAAACTCAATTACTTTCAAGGGAGCAAACCAGTCTACAAGATACTCAAAAACAATCCACCTCTTTTTTTTTAGCTTTGCCCACAATTCTCTAAATACTTCAATATTTATGATTTCAAAAAAAGCGGTGTAGCTCGCCCTCCATCGACTGCACACACAAACAAACATGTGAAACTCTGCTCACACGTCTTCCAGAACTGAGGATGACTTGAGGAGGCAGCAGGTTTGGTGTTAAGTTTTAGCTGGTTTGCAGCGTGGATGCATGCATGCAACACCACAAGCAGCAGCACTTCAGTGCAGTTTTAATCACTCCTCTGTTCATTTATTTCACTTTAAAACAAAGTAGAGGTCATCTCAGTTATCAGAAGATTATTTAATTTTTAACTTTAATCAATGCTTCAAGTACAAATATATAATATATATCAAGCATTTATTCTGTTTTTTCTTCCCTCCAAATATGACTTTTTCCTTCCTCATAACTTCCCATTAATAGCTTTTTATACAGCACTTTTAAAAGCCATTGTAATGGTAATGCTGACTGTTAATGAAACCCTGAGTAGTATTTCAAAATAAAATAATTAGTTCAAATCTTTTTTCAGTAAAAATATAAATGAATAAATGCTCAAAAACCCCAAAAAAGAAGATAAAAAAAAAAAAACTGTTTGCTACAAGAGCTGGCTGCAAAAGCTTAGGGGTGCAACTAACGATTATTTTGCTGATCAATTAATTTATTGATTAATCTTTCAAGTAATCTATTAATAACCAGATATCAAAAGGTTTGTTAAAGAAGATCTTTAACAGAGTTGAAACAGGTGAAAAGGGTAGAGCATATTGACAAACTTTTTTTAACCTTAAATGTAAAATATTAGTATATTTTTTTTTTTACCATTTTGGTGTAGTTACTGCTCTAAGTTGGTTGCTCTATCAGCTAAAGGCATATTATAGTCTCTATACTCTAGTTTATGATGAATCGATAACTAAATCACAATTAATCTGATTGTTTCAGCCCCTTAATAGGATTGAAAAAGGTGCACAGCAGCAGAGATAGCTGCAGCCTTGAGAAGACGGTGAAGGTAAGTTTAAGCATTTACACGTAGGAAAATAGATGAAGTATTTTTCATGATGAGTTTCAGATGTTTTAGTCAAACCTCTTGTAGGCTTTTACAACTGTATCAAAGCCTCTTCGTCCCGTTTGAGAGCGACAGTCATTTATTTCCTGGGGTTTTTCCACAATCTGTTCATAGTGATGATATTTATGGGCTAAATCACGGGACGTCTCTAGACGTTTATAGGAGCTGCTGGTGGCTCGCCATGTTTTCTGTGCATTTCCCTCTGCACTGTTACAAATTTTCCTGGGTGCTCCGTGCACCGACCCAAGCAAAACTTACTGTAGCAGCTCTCGCAGGCTCTGCCGCCTCCTGCTGCGTGAAAGGCCCCGGGGCCTGCGCCGTTCACAGTTGCCATCTTGCCGTTGGTCATCGAGATCTGGTTTGGGTTGGGTTTGTTGCTGTTAAGATTTAGAGTGTTGCAAACAAGCTTTAGTTTTAAGCAGTAAAATAAATATACATAATGTTAAATTTTATAATTGAAATCTGGAAACTCACTATGTGGGGATATAAACTTGCTTCAGTTTGCTTTCTGCCTCAGCTGCCTTCAGCCTTTTCTGCTCAATAAGAAATAAAAAATTTCTTGAACAAGTGAAACAACAGAACATTTCAAACATTTTCAACAAAAACCTATTAGAATATTTTCAGTTAGGCAGATAAATCTTATTAGATCATAAATACAAATGCTTTTCATAACCTTTACTAAACATATTCCAAAACATCACAAATGTAAAGACAAAAAGGAGATAATTTACATAGTTAAAAAAGTTAAATACTAAGAAATATAACAAAAGGATAATATTAATAACATAAGAAAATTAATTTCATCATGCATGAATTTTGGTTTAAATTAGGTTCACCTTCCATAGGGGATAATGGAAAAAGGCTCGTTTGAGAGTAATACATGCCATTTGTATTTCTTATTATGAAACTTCAGTGAGGAAAAAAACTAAACAATCTGATTTTATAATAAAACGATAAAAAAAAAACAATTCAGAAATTTAGAAAAATTATGAAATTATGAATTTTAAGCCAGATCACCCAGCCCAAATAGTGGTTGTCCTAGTAATATTATTAGTAATAATACTACCAGTAATGGTAATTTGTGTGGCTGTTAACATCTAAAGAAGGAAAGAACAAAAAAGTTTTTTCTGTGAAAATCTTCAACTACTATCCTTCTATCCTTGCAAAATATTTAAAAAAAGAAATGAGAATAAAACATAAATAAATAGGATACAGATTAAACTTAAGATAATGTGTGTATTCCAAATTGGCTTCTTTAAATATTTGGGATATTTTTAAAGAAGTTTCAGGACATCATGGAAGCTCAGGTTTGATTCCCAGAGTCTTCTTAATGGCTTTCTGAAGTAAATAAAAACGCAGACACATTTCTGACCTGCACACTTTCAAAATGCAACTTTACAGGAAAATCAAGTTTATTGTGAGTCATGTTTCAGCTTGAGAAGTTAAGAAAGTGAAATTCTCATCAGCAACCCCCCCCCCCTAAAAGTAAAAACAACATTAAGAGCCTTTTGCTGAGATTCGTCTCACTGCGATAAAAGATCTCCAAAGAGGTGGTATTAACTTTAAATGACCCTCATTCTGTTTAATCCTGCATAAAATAAAAATATTCTATTGGCAAACACTAAATATAAACAGATATTAACACAGGATCTCTGAGCCAATTAACACTGGGAGACTGTCGGCAGCAGCAAATATCTCCAGACAAAATAAGACATCTTTGCTTTCGCTCCTTAATAACGACAGGAATCTCACCTGCTGGACATATCTGTCCGTGGTCTTCCACATGTAGTAGTACTCTATGATGCTGGTCAGAGACTTCCATGGCAGCTTCACAAAGCAGTAGGAATCACAGGCAGAGTGATGGTTGGAGAGGGAAACAGAGACAGACAGCAAGTTAATGATATCAATACCTCATGTTCTCTCCGTCTGGGCATCGGGCCTTCATGTATATTCATGAGCCTGAGACATCGTGACCACAAAGGCTGAGAGCTACTGACTTCACTCGCTTCTGGCCACAGAAAAACACACTCATGTTTTACTATGCATATGGGGACTTATTCATTCATTTGTATAGATCACTCCCTTCTCCTAGTCCTAAACCCAACCTCTAACCCAGAAGGAGAACTTTTCCTCACAAATACCGTATTTTCACGACTATAAGGCGCACTTAAACGTCTTTTTTTCCCTCAAAATGTGCGGTGCGCCCTATGGTGCGGTGCGCCTTATGTGTGTTGTAACTGCGACTTTTGAGACCACCTCATTGAGGAGATGATGAAAGAGTGGCTGAATGTAAGGAGACCAGGTGTTTTTTTTCCACCCCTCACCATCGCTGTTAATATGTAACTCCATGCGTGCCCATCTCACAGCTGATGTGAAAAACATGGGGAAACAAATTAACGCTGCTCGACATCGGTGTGAACCGGACCCAGCAGGTGCAGCAGAAGCAGCGAGTTTACATGCAAAGTCAATGGTTGACGCGCATATAGGTGCAGCAAAAGGTCCCGCAGCGCATTTTGGTGCAGCACGTCGGGAGCGTTTAAGCATCTGAAGCGCCGCGCTTCTGCTGCTCGAGATGGAAAAATTGAAGTTTTGCTGCTGGACGCGCCGCATCAACCAATCAGAGAAGCTGATCTGGGAGCTGCCAGCGAGACAGACAGCGCTCTGATGACATATGATATTAACGCAAATGGAAAAGGCTGGATGGATGCGTGGCTGAGGCAGGTGTATGTGAGAAGACTAGGTGGTTTTTTCCACGCATCATCATCGCTGCGTGCCCATCTCACAGCCGATGTGAAAAAAAGGTGAATCAAATGAACGCTGTGCTCGCCGTTATCCCGGGGGTCTGACAAAGGAGCTTCAACCGCTCGACATCGGTGTGAAGCAGCCGTTCAAAGTAAGGCTGCGAGCGGCGTGGGAGCGATGGATGACCGACGGAGACCACAGTTTCAGGATAAGAAGGCAGCGCCGGGCAGATTACGCCACAGTTTGCGGATGGATTGTAGATGCTTGGACTAAAGTGTCTGCTGGCTCTGTTGTTCAAGCTTTCGCAAAAGCCGGCATTATTTCTGAGGAGCCGCGCTGCACGGAAAGTGACTGACAGCGAAGAAGGGGAAACTGGCATGTCTGATTTAGCGCAGCTGTTTTATTCAGAAACAGAGGATGATGACTTTGATTAATACTTTGTAATAAATACATGAATAAAGCACAATCATACTCAGTTTTGCTCCCGCTCTATTTTTCTCCCTGAAAACTTAATTCAACAGCATCCCCGGTCTCCTCCTCTTCATCGCGGTGGCTGGCAGGTGTTTTTTCATCTAAATAATCTAAATCTTGCAGCTATATTTGCTGTGATCAGTGGGAATAAAGTAGTTTTAATATGTTTTTAAGTGAGAAAGTCCACCTGAAAACTTAATAATTGCAGTCAGTTCATCCAGATTATCTATTTCTGTCGGAGGCGCTCAGACCCCCACATACCAGCGGTGCGCTGACAGCAGAAATCTCTTCATCAGCAGCCTGTAGGCTGGGCAGCCTGGGGTTCACCGCGGCTGCTGGCAGGTGTTTTTCATCTAAATAATTTTAGCTGCAGGCACCAGGATACCGGCAATAAAAGCGAACATATTCCGTCAGCAGGTTTCAGGATTTTAAGTTAATTTAGGAGTAACCACAGCGCTGTGTCATCTGCGATGTCTCTGTCTCACGGCCAGCTGCCAGGTTTGATTAATACTTTGTAATAAATACATGAATAAAGCACAGTCATACTCAGTTTTGCCCCCGCTGTATTTTTAAATACGCAGTAGAGGTATTTAAAGGTAGTAGAGGACTTGTACCTGTATATAAAAAACGCGCCCTATAGTCCAGTGCGCCTTATGTGTGTGTTAAATACAGAAATGGGACACATAACTGAGAGTGCGCCTTTTAGTCCGGTGCGCCTTATGGTCGTGAAAATACGGTAGGCATATATTGGCCTAACAATTACACCCCCCGCCACACACAGTGCTTCACATATAAGTATTCGTGAGCACCTGATGCCCTCGCCTCATTCAACTGTATTATGGTTATGTTATAAACATACAGTTAGATTCCAGGAAGGAAGAGATCAAAACATGACAGAGTGCTCTAGATGAGGTTTCAGAGACAGCAGAGAAAAAATGGCTTCATTTCTTAAAATTATGGAACAAATCTTAGACAAAAAAATATATAGAGAACGTTTTGATGTTTATACTTTTCACATTCCACATAATTAACCTCCAAGTTTCAGTCGCTGAAGTAAAGAAACAGACAAACAAAACAAAAACCTACAAAGTCTTGTCGGATGTCGTTAAAGTCTTTCCCATATTTCTCCAAAGCCTCCTCAAACATGGCTGCTTCCGAGGCGCTCCACTCCTCCATCTCATCCCTGCAGAGCACTGGGCCGCCCGCCGGGACCAGCACGCTCAAAGCGCTGGACAGATCGTAATTATGGCGATGCAGCGTGTCCATCGCATGGAACTACAAGAAAGCAGACGTCACAGACCATCTTTGAAACAATACTCAGGTAGAAACAGTGCTAAAAACAACAACAAATTACTCCCTGACTGATCCTTATTTCTGTTTTTCTTTAGGATCCGACCTGCCAATTTAGCTTGTTTGAGCAGTACAACAAATATCGTGTTCCTGACTAACCAGTGTGATGTCCCGAGAGGCTGCAGCTGCACTCATATGCAAGCTTGGCTGTCGAACTGAGCTGCTGCAGTCCAGTGCCCGGGCAAAGGTCCCAACAGCCCTGAAAAACCAAACAGAAAAAACAATAAGATTGGCACAAATAAACAAGGATTCAACTCAATATAAAACAGGGTAGAAAAAAAAAAAAAACACCCACAACTTTATCATAAAGTGTTTAGTAGCTACAACTACACTTCAAAGTGTGGAATAATTCAGAGAGGAATTAAGCATGTAGCTTGTTCTTATTTAACTGTGTTAGTGTTAGTTGAAATACTGAGTTCTGCCAGAATTTTTTTTTAAATCTTTTCAAGCCCAGATTGTGTTTATGTAAAGGCGAGGCGGTCTGTGCAGAGATCAGAGAGGAAAGCGGACCTACCGCGCCACCACTAAGAACTGGTCTATCTGTTTGTCGGTCAGAGGACAATCTGGATCCCAGAGCTTCTCCTCCAGCTTGGACTGGTCCCTGTCATCTGTCTCTACTGCAAAACACAAAGGAAATGTTTTACTAAACCAAGCAGAATAGGGTTTCATGAGAAAGACAGGGGAGAATAAGCAGCCAACTTTGTGATATAAGATGATAAAAGCTTAATTTTATATCAAACAAATTGTACCGTACCCTCTACCAACATTTCAGGTACGTCTGCCTGAAAGCGCGGCCCCACCCTGATCTCCCCTTTATCAGCCAGCAGGGTCTTCTGGGTCGGGTCGTACACCAGTGAGTAGAAGAAAGTGTCCTGCAAAGGAGAACAAAGGCATCACTTTTATGATGAAAGTATTGCCCCTCCTATCTAACAATTTTGAGATAAAGCTAAACAATCAGTTAAGTGTCGTATTATGTAAAGAAAAATAAAATAGTTTCCTTTAAAAAGTAACTGAAACATGCAGGACAATTAGATTAAAACTCAGAAAAGGTTTTTAGGTGATCTACCAATTAAGCCCATTCTAGACTTCACCCTTCCGCCTATATTCTGCACCATTAGCTCATGTTGGATTAAAACCAGATTAATAAAAAAGGGGCTCTGACAGGTGAAAAACAAAAAGAACAAGAATCTCAGAGGAAGGAAATTGTGTTTTCACCAAACAGACGTCAGCAAAAAAAAAAAAGAAAGCTTAGTGAGATTTTATTTTCTTTAGAAACAAACAAACAAAAAAGGAAGTCAAGTCTTTTGTAACTCTAATGGATGTACTGGGAATACAAACAGGCACTGCTGATCAGTCAGTGAGGGTAGTCATGCAAATTCAACCATTTTAAAAATGTGCATCCACTCCAGGAACCTTTTCCAGACACCTCAGGCCTTTTTATCTTTTTCCCTCTCTTTTTTTTTTTTTTTTTTTTAACCTGTCTTTGATGTTACAGTAAACGGTACCAAACCTGGGTCCTAGCAATCATCTATAATCAGGGACTGGTACTATTTTTGAAGGACAATGTAACTTAAAAGTGGGGACTTATGACGGGAAGCTGGCAAACGTTTCCTACTGTTTGAGCAAGATATAGTTGTGAAATTTTAGCTCTTTTATCACAGGGATTATTAGTAGATTTGATGACAAAACGTACCAAGACCCAGTTTATATATATATATAATTTTTAAAAGTACATTAAAACAATTGCGCCCCCTAACCAGTGTCGCCCTGGGCAGCTGCCAATTTCCCCCATTCAAAATCAGCCCTGTATAAAACTCCTGGTTAAAACATTAACCCCAAGTTAAGTCTTTGTTTATGGAATTTAAGCGACTCGTACAGCCTCCCCATTTCTATGTAAACATGAAAAACATAAAAACAAGCATTTTATTAAGCTTAAGCTTTTTATTTTGTTAAGTTAAAAATAAAATGGTTTAAAGATAATCTAAAATTAAAAGTCAATCTAAAATAAAAGAATGGTAGTAAGGCTGGTTATTTTGAGCTGCACTGCTAAAAGAACAACCCCCAGTAACTGTCATCCTTTATTTTTTCCCCCTCAAGCTTACCTCTTTGTCAAGGTATGAAAGAACGGCTTCAGTCTCGTTCAATAATGCCACACTGCACTTCCCCCTGATGGAGAGGGAGAAAGGGAAGCAGGCACCATGTAAAACACATACAAAGGAAGCAGCCTGTGCCTGTAATGCGTTTGCGCCTGAATGACTTATCCGCGTGTACTGCCTGCAGATCATGAGCCTGGTGGTATAGAAAACTATCTGCATGTGTATGGGCTGGCGTTTAAGTACCTGATGTGTGTCGCTGGGAGACTCTCATACTGTCGGGAGAGGAATAGCTCTCTGTGGCGAAGCTGGTGTTTCTGTTTGTCTGTGAGATCTGTCTCTGTTGGGTTCTCCTTCTCTTCTTCCAACTCCTCTGCAAAAGACAGAGTGGAGGAAACAAATAAAAAAAAAACACCGCAAGACGTAAAAGAAAAACAGGAAGAAAGAGGAATAACCAAATGCACCCCTTTAGTAAAGTCTGAGAAATGTGATTTATGGGCCAACTGATCAGACAGATGCAGTTAAAAAAAAGCTAATTTAATCACTTCATAAACTGGTTCCTTCACAGTCTCAATTGACTCTAATTCTCCGTCAAGATGGTATGATATTAATATGTGTAGCTTCAGAACCCAAACTAAAATAAAAATGAAACTGAATACAACTCAGGGTGATCAGTTTTTAAGCACAAGGAATTCAAAGCTGCTTAGTTTGCAAAACTAAGCAGAAAACCTTATACACAATTTTTCAAATCACTAAGACAGATCTCAGCCTGTGAGGAAGCCGTAAATAACCTTATTTAATGTTGCACGAGTTCAAAGTCTAAAAAAGGGGACAGATGACACTACTCACTCGCGTGTTTATCTGCAAGCTGGATGAGGCTGTGAGAGATGTCTCTCCTTCTGTAGAAACAAACCACCTTGGCCTCCACATTCCCACTGGCGGTCTGAAATGGAGAGATTAAAGATCAAGGCTGGCGTAAAGAAATGCTGCAAATAAGTCCATCTATAAGGCTCAGATTTCCCAAGAGCACCGTCTATTTTGTGCTTCCATCAAATTAAGACAGCGTTTTTAAATGGCTGATTCATTGCCGCGATGAGTAATTAGTCTAACAGGTGAACTCAATTAAAACTGATGCTGAGTGATTAAAAGTGGGAATTACAGGTGCATCTTAATAAATAGAATATGATCAAATTTATTTTAGGCAGTTTAATTCACAGTGACACCTGCATTTAGATTCACAAATAATCACAGGAAAGAAAGACGTTACATAAATACTGAAACATTTTAAGCATTTATTTTCACAGTGTACCGCTTTGACCCTCATTACTTTACAGCCTACTCTTTTCTGCCATGAAGGAAAAGATTTTTATTTTATTCTTTTTTTTTTTTTTACAGGGAAATCTTATGATCTATATAATCATTGGGAGAATGTCTGAGTGGACTATAGCAGAGAGTTGTTAACGGCTTCCCTGGAGCCTAAAAGGATGATTGCTACATACGCTGGCGGTTCAGGGAGCACATCCAGGCATAATAGAGTTAAACTGAGTGGAAGGAGGAAAAAAAGGGGGAAAAAAAATAAAAAGATAAAGAAGAAGGTGCACCTATATGAATAAAAACACATTTATGAAGATTGTAATGCAAAACCCATTCGAGAGTTTGAGTGGAATTAATAAGACATGGGCTGATGTTGGAATCAGCACTCCCAGAAACCACAACTAAGGTATCAATGGCTACGTTCACACAGCAGCCCTAAGTGACCCAAATCAGATTATTTTTGCCCAGATGCGACCTGTATCTGATCTTTTCATGGCAGTCTAAACAACACAGATCCAATTTTTTCCAATGCCACCCAGGCCACTTGGCTATGTGGTCCTCAATCCGATACGAATCAGAGTCGCATTTATCCGACCTGTCCAGCATTAATACCAGACAAAGGTCATTATTCAGCGTCTTGATACGTAGAAGCGGCAACAAAAACAACAAAAATGATGAACAATAATGCTGAGAGCAGTATTTATGTTTAACCATATTGAAAAGACTGAGTTTTTAAGGTTGGGAAAGATTGCTAGATGCGCTCTGGCACAACCATCCATGTTTACTTCCATGAACACCGAGCACACTGGTTTGTGGCTTCATTACTACTTCTACTACGCATATGGGACACTAGGGTTGTATGAATGCAGTGCACACAGGAGATCACATACAAGTCACATATATTTGGAAATGTAAACGGCAATGCAAAAAAAATAAAAAATCTGAATTGAGCATCAAGGCCTGCGGTGTGAAGGTAGCCAAAGACATGGGATGCAGTGGCCCAAGAGTTAAGTCTGAAACAGCAATGGAAATAAAGCAGATGACTGCCATGTCGTCGGACAATATTGGTGCATTGCTGTTTTGTAAAATGCTAAGCCGGCAACGCCATCAACTAAGTGCAGGGTCTGAGGGGCATGTCGTTCAGAGACAGCTGGAGGGGCACTAGCAGCCTTCCCAGGATGCCTCTCAATTTAAGAGCACTTCATGTTTTCCTTTGTGATGATATTTTTTTTCTCTTGCATGAGTCGTCATTCGTCTGCACTCCAACATTTACTAATAGGGCTGGGTAAAAAAAAAAAAATCGATTTTGAATCGATTCCTTTACATTTTTGCCAAATCGATGTCTAGGGAATGAGATCGATTAGTTTTATATTGACGCCTGTGACGTTCACATTCAAATAAGCAGGAAAGATGCACTCAAGATGACTTCAAGCCAGACAGCTGCAAATATAGCCAATACGTTGACTGAAAACATTAACAAATGGAGGCTGACCAGCAAACACCCTGTAGTTGTTACAGACAACGCTGCAAATATGGTTTGTGCATTGAAGAGAATGCAGCTCATGCATGTCTGCTGTGTCACGTCTGCTTGCTCGAGTGAGGCTTCACTTTTTCCCTTTTCACAAAAAAGTAAGACAGTTTTGTTCACATCTCAAATTTAAACTGTCCAAATTACCAGTTTGCACTTTGTGTTTAATATGACAGGAAAAAATAAAATACACAAGTGTTTTAAAACAAAGTTGAAGCAATTTCATTGTTGTAAAAACAGATTGAATTGCAATAAATCGATTTAGAACTGTATAAATCAAAAACGAATCAATTCAGGACTTTGGAGAACATACCCAGCCCTATTTAGAGCTTTGAGTGTGCTGAACAACTATGATGAACATCAAAATAGAAATTATAGTCAACCAATATAGTGATTTTATTTAGATTTTTCTTTGCACCAAGATAAGCATGTGGATGTTTCAAAACCAGGCGTCAGCTTTTAATGACCTTGAAAACTTGCTTTTCCAGAGTCCATTGTTACTTGCATGTATTTTTCTGTGTGCTAGCTGCAACTCTCCCTTCCCTTGTTTGTGTCGGCAAACCTACTTTAAGGGTAATATCGCCACCTTAAGGGCTGGAGTGTGACATGCAGTTTTTTTCCTGTTGAATGCTATGAAACCAAAAGTAGTTGCTCTGGGATTCGAATGTTTTAGTTTTATTAGGAGTACATTATAAACACAATTAAAGGTGCAGCACTAGAATATACCAGTATGCACTTCAATGGTTAGGATATCATTGCGGTTTATCGTGTACATGGGCTCCTAAGGCACCTTATGCAAATAAGCCCAGCCAGTTTTTAGTTGCGTTTTCATCCAAACCTGATGAGAACTTTGTACAAACCTTTTAAAAGTGAAAAATTAAACCCTTGGAGGGAATTAACAAGGCGACATAAAACCTAAGGTTGTCATATGTTGACATTACGCTTGATCACTTTCCAAAGATCAGAAATGGACAAAAGTCTTAAGAAATGTGTTTTGCCTGGGCAAGTTTAACCTACTTCATCATGTCAGCTGGTATCAGTGATGGTTCACACCATCCACAGACTTCCAGAGAAAGAAAAGTGTGATTCTAATGCTGCATCCATGACGTCCTAAGAAAAACTAGTTTCCAGCTCCTCTTTACACTTTTTCTGAAGTCAACTCAAGTGAGCGTAAGGAGGTTTTTGCACCAATTAGATAATTGGGATTTTGCTGTTTCTATCAGGCTTTTCTATTGCCATACTTCAAAATGTTATGAAAAGTGGAAAAATGTATCGTTTATACTGTACACTACATGGACGTAATTTAGGTTGTATTAACTGTAAATCTAATAACACAAATAAATGTTTGAAATACAAATGATTAATATATCAGTGTAATCAAGGGGAAGCAACTAATGGTTCCAAGTGGCTCTTTAAACAACAATGGCTCTTCATCACTTTGGCTACAAAAATTATCCCCCAAGGGGACCTCCATGGTCAATCTCAATCAACATTTTTGTGTCTGCAGATGCTTGGTGAATAAAGCAAAATCTAAAATTGAGAAAAAAATGTTTTCCCTCCTTTCTCTATTAATAAATGTTCTCCATTGCATTTGTTATTATGGACTAAAACAAATATTGTACATATAAAATAATCAAAACACAGACTTTATCAACTAAAAGAAAATGCTTAACCCTGGTCTAGCGGATCAAGGGTGATGAGCAGTTCTATCTTTTCATCTACTCTCCTTTGGTTTAACTGACAAACTCCTAGCAGATGCCTTAAAAGAGGAACCTCTACATGTAATAAAACACTACCCTTAAGTGCATCAGATCATGTTGCAAATGTATTCAAGTTAAAAGCTTGTATCAATTTCTAGCTGACCGTGCACATGGGGGATAAATAGCTTTCAAAGTTTTTAATAACCAGTTTGTAAGGCCAGCAAGCACTCATGCCCATACAGGTGTGTCCCGCGATTAAAGAAGAAATGTCAAACTGACAGTTAGGAGACAAAAGAACACATGTTAATTTCAGTCAACCCGTCAGTGCGTGGGGGCCGTGGGTGGGGCTCCAAGGCAGGAATCCAAGTTATTCACCCTCAAGCACAAAATTGAAAAACAATGCAAGTACCTTGTTGAGTTCTTCTATCCGGCGGATCAGGTAAGGGTTACTGGAGGAGTTTTCAAAGAAGACGTAATCTGCAACAAGACACAAGATGGTATCACAACGTCTTAGCTTTGTACTGCAAGAAACGGCACATTCACTACTACACATCATTTCCATTGCGTGGAGGAGTGGTGACCTAGAGGTTAGGGCATGAAGCTTAGAATCCTGAGGTTCTGAGTTCAAGCCCCACTTCCACAGACTGCCATTTTGGGTCTTTAAGTAAGACCCTTAACACCACACTGCTCCCCGGGTGCCCCATGATGGCAGCCCACTGCTCCCCAAGGGGATGGGTTTAATGCAGAGGTACATTTCTCCAGTGTGAGATCAATTAAGTTCAATTACTAACATAAAGAAAACAGTCCTGTCAATTACAGAGAAAGTAAACAATTTGTGGTTTTATAGAAAAATGTATCCAATACTGTCATTAATGAGCCTTGTAGAGGCCCGTCGTTTTAGAGTTAGCTTCATTTTAACTTTTTTCCCCAAATCCTTTCCCCTTTTTTGTAAGAATTATTAGTCAATTTAATAATAAGTTGCTTAAAAAATAATTTCTTGGAATAACAGGGCAATGATCCTACAGTGGTACCTACTATGGAATAGTTTTAATCGAAGGATGTTCAAATACTATGATGACCCAGCCAAAGTTCGGACCTAAATCCAACATATCTCTGGCAAGACTTTACAAATCGATGCTCAAAGATCCTCTCCAATCAATTCGACTGAGCTTTATCTCAATGTGCAAAGATGTTAGGGATGTATTACAACAGACCTGCAGTGGTTTTTGGAGCATTAGTACCGACTCATGAGGGTGTAAGCAAAAAGCAACACTTTTCAAACTGATGTGTGTAAAAAAAAAAAAAAAAGACATTCTCATTTGTTTTTAAGCATTAACTTGACTCTGCTGACTAAGAGCTCAAAATCCTGCATTAGTTTGTCAAATAATGAGAACAGAATGATTCTGTAAGGCTCTATATACCTGTTACTGAAGTAAAACAGTGCTAATGAACTTAAAAATGCAACAAAGAAAGAAACAAAACTTTTCTAGATACTTTATCATCATATTTAAGTATTTTACCAAGCAGCTACTGCAAGATGTGTTTGTTTTTCTTATTTATGCAAAAGGTCTTTCACAGACCTACAACAAAGATCCTTTATGTCAGTCCTCTTTCTAACGTCCCCGGTTTAGGAGTGGCTTTATACGCAGAATGAAACAGGTCCAGGATACATGTTCTGCTTGTGCCAATGGGTGGTGACTCTTCAGCCACAGTTTTTAGTAAATCTGTTCAAAACTCCTGAACGAGCTTTTGCTTCTACACCTTCCACTGATATGCTGGTAGAGGATGTCAACCGGCAAGTAAAAATTATCCTCCAGTTGTGAAATTTTTGTTTTAAAAATAAATTTAATCTCTCAGCTCTTATTGTAAAATGTGTTTGTTTTAAAAATGAGCTGTAACCCATAATCCTTTAACTTTATCTCTTAAATTACCTTGTAAGAAATACATATGTATATTATTTTAATCAAAAGTTTGATTTTATGAACTGAAACACTAAAAAAAAACTTAAATGTAACAATTTAGTAAAGTGCATCTGCACTCGGAGATTTGAACGCAACGTTTACAGACGTCAAGTTTACAAAGAGCACCTGAAGGCACCAGAACTAAAAGAAAAAGACCCATTATGACGTGCTTGTGATAACCACAAAAGAAAATACTGTAACATTAAAGTGATGCAACATTGAATTAGGGGCTAGGATCCCATGTTGATGACGAGTTAAAGCTCAAGTATAAGCGGATGGAGGTGTAAGGTTCAATGGTAGCAGCCGCACTGACGCCATGAAGACAATCATTTGATGCTGAATTCCAGCAGACTGCTAACGAGCTAGCTGGCCGTCCACGCCAGTACATTTGATGATTAAACACACTTAAAGTCGGCGTCTGTGTATCACTACACGGAAAAGGCTATTTTAAAATAATATTCCAAACAATATCAATCGCGAGGCATTAATAATAATGAAGGGGACGACCAGTTAAGCTGCGGCTCGTGCTAACGTTAGCTAAATAAGGACTCGTAGACTAATGGCTGCATGCCAGAAGAGGCAAATACAAAGGCAGCCTCATACTGACCGTGGGGAAATATCAACACCCGTTTAAATAGATGTTCAACCGTAAGCCAACATCTTACACCCGGCGTGAAAGCGTTTAAGAGCCGCTTTAGCAGCTAATAGCACCGACAGCTGAAAAAAAAAATGTTTACATAGCCAGGTAGCCAGTTAGCGGCTAACTGCTGCGGCCTGACTCATTTTGGATCCCAAATATTGAGAAATGCTCACCTTCCGGCTCCGACCTCTTTCGCATCTATTAATGTGGGTTAATCGCTTCTTATTGCACCGTCAACCTTAATTAACGCATCATCAAATATGATAAAAGAGACAAAAATAACATAAGGGGTTTCTGCTTAATAAAAAAAAAAAAAAAGGATCCACACTGACATACATACCTCCGACCCGGTACATGTTGGCCGCCATTTCTGCCCTCCCAGCGTGTTAAACGTAAAGCATATACTAAGCAAAAATGACATAAATAATTTTTAAAATATATACATCTAAAACTCTGCTTCCTAAAAAGACACAACGGGCTTTTTAAATACGATCGTCGGGACTCCGGATGTGTTCACTATGAGGGGAGAAATTTGGCTACTGAGACCCCCCTTTCCTCCGCCTCCTGCTCTACCGATTCACAGCAGCAGCCTTTGACAATACAGTAAACTCAGAGCGGCCGACAGAAGTCGGATGAACCCGAAAAACCACACACTGCTGGGAGGCAGAGGGGGGCCGCGCATGCGCAAAAAGGGCCACTGCAAGGGATTTTACAAAATAGACTATCAGTGGGCGTGAATTGATCAGTAATTATTACATCGTTTTGTTTGTTTTTTAAAGCCTTATACGGAAGAGGATTAGGGATACTGAAAAAATAAAAAAGTTGACTGATTTTAAAATTTTATTTCAGTCTAATATGGTAAAAGTCAGAATTCTGTCTTTAATCTCAGAGTTCTGATTTTAATCTCAAAATTCTGACTTTTTTCTCAGAATTCTAACTTTAATCTCTGAATTCTGACTTTAACCTCAGAACTCTGACTTTAATTTCTCAGAATTCTGACTTTAACCTCAGAATTCTGACTTTAATCTCTTAATTTTTTTATCGTAATGTAGATGGGCACCATGAAGATGTGTACCTGATATATAAATATGTTTAATATGGGGGGAAAAAGTCATAGTTCTAACTTTAATCTCAGAATTTTGGATGTTTGTTACCTCTTAGAATTTGGTCAGAATTGTGAGATTAAAGTCAGAATTCTGAGATTAAGGTCAGAATTCTAAGATTAGAGTCATAGTTCTGAGATTAAAGTCAGAATTCTGATTTTTTTTCTCCTCAGAATTTGTGACTTTAATCTCAGAGTGCTCAGCTTCACTAACAAAGATGTGATTTGTTTGGGAGGGCCAGTAACACATTGGTGGAAAATTACAGTGACTTTTTATGTGACGCTATTTAACACAAAGATGCTGTTTAATTAATGGAAGGGCAGAATGTTATTAAAACAAGAGAGCTAGTTTAGTCTTTAAAACAGACATGGCAATGGCTTGATGCTAACATGTTTGTTAGCTCTCAGAATGTGGTCAGGATTGTGAAATTAAAGTCAGAATTGTGAGATTAAGGTCAGAATTCTGAGGGGGAAAAAATCAGAATTTTGAGAAAAAAAGTCAGAATTCTGAGATTAAAGTCGGAATTCTGAGATTAAAGTCAGAATTTTGAGAAAAAGTCTGAATTCTGGGAAAAAAGACAGAATTCTGACTTTTTTCTCATATTACACTGAAATAAAATATTTGATATTTAAGTTAACTTGAGTTAGCTTTTTTTTCCAGTGGCCCTAATCCTCTTCCATAACCTTAAAATCCATTCATTTTGGCTTAATTAAAAAGTCAGCTTTAACTGTCTGCATATTTTTTTTCTTATTCATTTATAACAGAAATAGGTGGAAAAAATAAATGTGCAAAAGTAATTGCTCACCACTAATATCAGACATGCTTTGTGTTGTAGGTTCAATCCCAGTGTTTTCATGTTATATCTGTATGTGCCCCTGGGCAAGGCACTTAAGACAAAAGTGCCTACCAATCTATATCAGTATAGGATTTGTGGTGTTTGTGAGTTTGACTGGATGAATGCGGTTCCAGTGCAGAGGTCTTAATGCTGAAGCTCAGGGGCCACATGTGCCTCTGTGGAGCTCATAAAATAACTCCTAATAGTTTATAGATTAACTGATAAAGAACTATTGTTTCATCTTTTTCTAAATAAAACTATGAGACCGTTTTATGAAGCTTTTTAGTTTTTCAGTAGAACAACTGCAATATAATCCCTCAACAGAATGATGCTTAAGACTTTAGATTATTGTTTAATTTTTCTACATAATTCTCTAAATATATCAACATGTAGAAAGGAACAACAAGGACAAATTTTTCCTTCCTCATTTTGACAAAGTTTTTTTTTTATCTTCATTTTTAAACCTAAAAATTTAAACAAAACATTGATTTGTCAAAAAACAACAAAACTTTTTTTTTATGAGTTTAATAGGTACTTATTTAAAAATGTCATGTAACTAAACAGATTTTATTTTGCTCAACTGAGGCCAAAAATTTATTTTTGCGTTGGAAAGGTTGCAAACCCCACAGCACTTTCCAAAGTGGGTATTACTTGTAAAGTGCTCTCCAAATTCAGTCCACTTATCATTATACCTTTTTACCTAGGTCCACTGATTGCCAGACATGTAGAGCGTTATAAAAAAAAAAAATGTCTAACAACATGAAGTGTTCTGAACAATCCCAAAAAGCAATCAATAATGCCCACCAAAAAACAACAAAATCTCATGCATGCAGGCCTCACTTATGGTCAGAGTTCCTAATGCAACATTAAGGGAAAAAAAAGGGGTTACCATCCATTGGAAAGTTCAATGGCAAAGAGCAATTGCTACTAGATAAACGTATATGTCTATTGATTCAACAATATCGCAATGAACCCTTTGGATTTTGGGTAAATATTCAGGGGACTGATGTGCCAAAAAGGGTAACTTTGTGGTACATGTGTTACCCTTTAATCAGGCAGGCACATTTATACTGAAAAAAACTGAAATCTAAATAATTAATTTTTTCTTAAAATAAGTGCCTTTCTTCTTGAATTTAGGAGGTGAGACACTTTGCCAGTAGAACTAGACAATTTACATTTAAAATAAGAAAAAACAATTGCCTTGTCTTATTTCACATGCATATTATCTAATTGTCTTATTCTAAGACTAAAAAAAAACTTATTCCAATTGGTAAATAATCTTACTTACCTAATCAAATTGCTAAATACACTTAATTCAAGATTTTTTTAACTTATTTCTAGATCGTTTTGCAGTTTAGAAAAAAGACAATCATACTCAGTGCAAGAGGTGAGAGACAAAAAGACCCTAACAAAAATAAAATCTCTGTTGGATAATGTTTCCCAACCCGTTGCAGAACTGGAAAGCTCCTTCAGTAACAGTATGCTGCAGCCTAAATGCTCCAGAGAGCGTTATCACAGATCCTTCCTCCCAGCAGCTATAAGACTTAATAAAAATCACTGTTCCCAACAGCCTCAATAAGTTGTTACATTCATGCTGATTTTTGCACAGTTTCTGTCTGAGTCGGTTAAATAACACACTGCTGTCGTTTTGCACATCTGATGTTGCTGATATACATTACATATCCATTACTGTAAAAATGTACACAGCTGTGTATTGATTATTTACTACCCAGATACAGAGCATCCATAATGTAAAAACACTGTAAAGTATTTTTATACACTTTCTAAGGCCCACATTGTGTGACCATTTCTGCTATAACCTTTTGCTGTCGTAACACCACAATTTCCCCAATATGGGACAATAAAGGGATTTTCTATTCTATTCTGTTCTGTTTTATTCTATTCTATTCTATTCTATTCTATTCTATTCTATTCTATTCTATTCTATTCTAAACTATACTGACAGTGAAACACATTAGTGGTAGTGAGATTGTCTGGGGCAGATTTGCAGCTTAATGAGCTTGATGACCCTCAATAATTGGTGGTGAATTCTTCTCTCTAGGGAATTGTGAAGCAAAATGTTCAGCCAACTGGTTCATAAGCTTCATTCGGTTATAATTACTTCTGAGGACAATGATCTAAAGCACATCAACTGGTTCACCAAAGGTTTGGAAAGAATAAAAACAGTCTAACAAATACAATTAGGATTTTGTTAGGTCTATACAATAGAGGACAGGTGGCTGGCTCATTATCAGACTGTTTGACCTGTGATCCAAAAATCCTGCAGGAAGCTCCTCCCAGATCTGAAAAACAACTTTATAAAACACATCCAGCACGCTTCAAGGTTAAAAAAATAAGGGTCCCACTTTGAATGGGCTTTTAAGTCCAATTTGTTTTTCTTTCCAAGTTTCACTTGTTTAAGTTCACTAAATTTTGCTTAAATCCAAACATGATTTAAAGGCCCCACTTCAAAAGTAAACACCTTTGAATGAAGGAACATCTGAACTAAAATCATGCTGAAATTCAGTCACTTCAAAAGCCAAATGGAGAAAAAAAGCAGCATCTCTAAAATCCTTTTAAAAAATAGAACATGGATCACAACTAAATGGGCTATTTGTCATATAAACTGGCCAGGTCCGTGGCCAGCAATCCCCTTTTTGTCTAATTATTGATGACTGTCATGGCCATGAAGGTAAAATCGATGGTGGTTTCAAGACAGAGAGGAGACTCTGGGGCAGACCCAGCGCTTGTACTTCCTTGCCCCGCCCATCCTCCCCACCTTCTACAGAAGCACCATAGAGAGCGTTTTGACCAGCTGTCTCACTGTGTTGTGTGGAGGCTGCAGCGTCTCAGACTGGAAGAACATGAGAAGAGTGGTGAGGGCAGCAGAGAAGATCATGAGGGCTCCTTCTCCTTCCATTAAAGACATTTCAGCACTGCGTGTCCCGAGCCTGTAAAATCATAAATGACCCCTCACACCCACACCATGGACTGTTCTCACTGCTGCCCTCTTTGCGGCATTCAATGAAGGGCCAGCAGGTTCTGTAACAGCTTTTTTCCCGCTGCCATCAGACCGTTGAAACTCCAAACAAGACTGTGCATCACACTTGAAAACATTATATTTGCACTACCAACGTGGCTGATATTTTCATAATCCCTTTAAATTTAACACAACTCAATATTCTGCTGCATTTTGCAGCATTTTTTTTTTATTTGTACTGCACTGAACCTTATATCAACTCCTTTAGCATCATAACTTTAAACTGGTTTTCCATTTCTCCTACATTGTTTACATTCTTGATCACTGCTGCACTTCATAAATGGTAATGTTTATTTCATTGTTGAAAGCTGCACACATCGAAATTTAGTCTAAGGATTTTCTGGATAAATAATTTATCCCTTAACATGTTGGGGCCCTTAAGAATAAACAGCTGTGGGTTATTAAATTTAGGGTTTTCTCTTCTTCCCTTGGTACCTCAACCATCCTTTATTTGACACATGGATGTGGATGTTTTTAAATGCTCATTTTTTTCACCTTATTAATACCCTTATATATTTAAACACTTTCAATTTTCTAATCTTTTAGGTAAACTATTATTTAATGCAGATGAGAAATGCAGAAAAATCCATTTTGGTTTTATGGATCAATTACAGTTTTTAAGGTCATTTTTTATTTATCCACTAAGATGTGGATAATGTAAAAGGTGTAGGTGGATACATAAAAAAAATTAGATAAATATTTATAGATAAAACATATTAAACATGTTTATTATTGCGTACCCTTACAATTGGATTATTAATGTATTAAATAACCAAACAGGATGCTTGAATTGAAAAAATAAAAATGTTGGAATTCATTTAACTCTGTTGAATCAAAGACAATTTATTTATACATCAGTTATAATTATTTCTAAGAGTTATTCATTTGCAGCTTTCCAAGTAAACCGGATTTATCAGCAGAAATGTTGTTGTATGGTTTTATCTTTCTCACTGCGTGCGCGCATATGACATCACGCAAAGGGCTGGCTCACCCAGAGTGGGGTGGAGAGTGTTTTATCCAGACTAGAGGCAGAAGGAGCGGACAGTGGGAGAGACAGTTGGGATATAGTTTCCTCCACACACGGATCAAACCTATAGAACCACTTCCAGGAAAGGCGAGCCACGCCCCGGGGGCAGGGGAGACGGTCCGCTCCCCCAGGTGCCCTGACTCCTGTGATGGAAAGAAGAATGGACTTTAGTCGATTATAGGCTTACCAAAATGAAGTTCGGGAAGAGCATCTGTGTGCTGAATGTAGGGGGGACCCGTTACGCCTTCACCCGTGAGGTGATCAGGGATTTCCCTCTCCGGCGCGTCAGCCGCTTACATGCCTGCGCGACCGAGAAAGAGGTCCTGGAACTGTGCGACGACTACGACAGAGACCTGAACGAGTTCTTCTTTGACCGCCACGCGCAGGCTTTCGTGTTCATCATGCTGTACGTGCGCTCCGGCAAACTCCGGTTCGTCCCCGGAGTCTGCGAGCTTTCCTTTTACACCGAGATGCTCTACTGGGGGCTGGAGAGCGCACACCTGGACTCCTGCTGCCAGAAGCGCCTGGATGAGAGGATGTCCGACATCGGGATGGACAGTCTGTCAGAGGGGGACGTCATGCTACCCGGGGATGAGTGCCAGAGTCCGGAGGATACGGTGCAACGGATTGCGCTCAGTGGGCGCGCCAAATGGTTGGAGAGGATGCGCAAAACCTTTGAGGAGCCCAACTCTTCTCTGGCGGCGCAGCTTCTAGCCACAGTTTCCGTCATTTTTGTGATTGTTTCTATGATCATGCTGTGTGCCAGCACGCTCCCCGACTGGGATACAGCTAAGAGGAATACCGTAGAGGAGCACAGGTAGGCTATGGTGTGGGTTTATTAGTCCTTGAGGGGACCCCCTGGGGAAAATAGGCTCCAAAATAGAGGCGCGATAACATGCTGCTCATAAGTCCTGTGCGTAAAAATGAAACCACAGGGATAAAAAACATTTAATCTATGAACAAATACTTTTTTCAAATATAGCGAAATCAACAGAACGTGGTTTTGAAAAAAAAGACTTGTTTTTTTTAAATACAGCCTATTATATTAAATCTCTATTTAACAACAATAACATTTGCCTCCTAATAATAGGCTTAAAGACCACACCCCTCTCATGACATCATTTAATATAAGACCCAAGGTAACTCCTTTGAGTATTTTACCCAGCTTAGAAAATGTATGTTTATTTTTCTCGATTTTAGGTATTAGAAAGTCTCATTTTTTTTAAACCTTAATTCTGTTTTTATTTCTCTGAGAAGATGGAGCGGAGTGGAGAACATTCTGGTTGCGAGACTGAAAACAGTGAGATTTACCTTTTTTTAATCCATCAGCTGAAAAAAAGATTGAGTATTTAAAAAAAGTCAAAGATAAAACTACAAGAACAGATTTTACACCATGTTGCACTGCAGAGATTTAATGACTTACAAAGTGTCAGAAGGGACAATAAATGGAGGCTTTCGGGACATTCTGTATAGACAGCAGACTTGTAAACATGACTGAACTCGAAAAATCTGAAGTACGACAAAGGTCGTACTTCTTTAATTCTCATGTCATCTCTTAACTCTTTATTACTGCATTATATAATGTGCAATAAAATAATAATTAGAAAAACAAAAAATTCAAACAAAACACTGTGCTAAGATGCATGGCAGCAAAAACAGACTGAATGGAATTCATATCAAAAATGTACTTTATTGTTGTGGGAAATTTGCTGAGGAAATTTGCCCCTGAAGATGGAGATGGAGGCTATAGTTGGAAACTCATTATGTAAAGACTCAGTCTCATATTATATTTTTAAAACATTCTGTCCCTGTTACCTTTTGCTTCATATTAATAAGAACTAATGATTCTAGTTCATTATAATATATGAACTGAATTAATCATCGTTTGTTATACTGAACTTACTTTGATAAATTATTAAGCTATCAGAAAAAAAGAAATATTTCAATGTATTTATATATTTTTCAAATAAAATTCCTTACTCAGGTTTGTTGGTACTTGAAGATTATGTGAGAAGAGGGTGCGAGGAGCACCGATTTCAGGAGGATCTGCATGCACCCAGTACAGTCTGTACTGTCTTCTTCAATCCATTTAATGCAGGAGAAAATATTACGAGCAAATCCCATCAGTCAGTGACCAAAAGGGAGAAGCTCAGTTAGGTAAAGCAAAAGAAAGGTGCACTTTGTATGGTGACATTTTTTGAGGGGAAATCATCCACAAAAACAAGAAAAAACTTTAATCCAGCTTAAATCTTTCAGAATCTGACAAAAGTAACACATTGTTTGTCGTAGGGTTTATTCCTGGCTGCTGATCAGCAAAGTTATGCTCCTTGTGTGATATAATCCATTGAAAATCTTTAGTGTCTTAATAAAAGGTGTAGAGTTGGTAAAATGCTGCCTCTAAAATCTGTTAAAATTATTTTTGTGAGACTCATTTTTATTCAACTAAAAGTTGCCTATGCAGTCTAACTAAAAGCATCTAACAGACTTAATAAGGATGGAGAATTCAATAAATTCTCATTGTGAGAGTACCCCTAAACTCTTAACTCTGCTTGAAGTAATATCTTGGTTACATTTAATGAATTTATTTCATTGAATCAGTGGAATAAATTTAAATATACATCACCCTCACATGTCTGTAAGACGAAAAATCTATTCAGTTTGATAACAAAATTCACGTTAAACATACAGTGATCCAAAAATTATTACATTACTGCTCTGACTGAATCTTGGTAAAAAAACTCCCAAAATGGGTTAAATCATTAATTAAGCAAAATGAAAAAGTCACAATAGCATTCCGAATTAGAAAAAAAAAATAGCCTTTTATCTTAGATCAAATTGGCAACTTTGCTAAATTAAAGAACTTCATACCATGCATTTAAACCATTACAAAATAGTATATTTCTATTCTAAAAAATCAGTACTGATTTCAAAATTGTTGTTTTTTTCTATTTCACTCTTATGAAATATGACAAATATATTACCCATGATAAAATCAAAGTAGCTCTGAACAACCTGCAGATATTATTTAGTCAAGTTGCCAACTTTCCTAATTGCTGATTATGAGTAGATGGAAAAAAAATTGTCACAAAACATTGCTTTTTGTTCCAAGTGGAAAACATTAAACAGGCAAAATAAATGCATAGTTTCATATCTAAAAATGTTTGTTTTGATATGACTTTCTGCAGTGAAATGAATTATACCTTCTTAGCCCCTAGTACTGTTCTGATCACTAAATGTTTGATCACAATGTGAATGTGGAAGAAATCTAAAGATAATGAAGATACTTAACAAGTTAAAGCCTTTCTTACTGTCCGACAAGCAGGGGTGCTGGGGAGAGAGTGTGAACAGATGCAGCAGAGGCCTCTCGGTCTCAAAACTCAGAACAGAGGGACCCAGTATTCCAGGCAAGACAGAGAGTGGGATAACTCAAAAAAGCGTTTATTAAAACACTAATCTTTAGTTGCACCGGCTAGGGCATCTGAGGCAGGAAAATCTGCAGGAGAAAAACACAGGTTAGTGACCAAGTATATCTAATAGAGGAAGATTTTGAACGCGAGTCACTAACCTGGTTCACGAGATCAATCCATAGCCAGAGAACGAGGTAGGATCCAGCCGGTGGGCTGCCAACAAGATCCGGCTGTCGCTGCCCAGAATGTCCCAAATGCTCCAGCCCCGAAGAACAAGCAGAAGTCCAAAGCCAGATCAGGCTAAAAGATCAGAACAGGAACAGGCAGACTGAGAGGTCCAGGAGTCTGAAGACAGTTCAGGCAAACAGATCAGATGGGAGCAGGCAGGCTCAGTGGTTGACAGGCAGAACAGGCCAGGATCAGGTAATCAGAAACACTAAGGAGCTCTAAAAACACTCTCACCAAGAGAAAACACAATAATCTTGCCTGATGACTGGACATAAGAGGCAGGAGCAGGTGGATCTGATGAGCAGTGATGAGAGACCGGGCAGAGTAGACAGGTGAATGGAATAAGTAGGAATAAGCCAGTCATCAGTGCCAAGATCATGACAGTAGTTTAGGATTTGAACCCAAGCATTAAGGCCTCTGTTTATAACATGGCAGTGGTTATGTGTAAGGGGAAACATGGTAAATATGGCCCTTTGCTTGGTAAACCAGTGCCTCTGAAGCCATTATGCTCACTGATGAGTTTCAGACAGCCCATGAATCATTAGCATTCTCACAATGCTGTCACACAACCTCCCCCTAAGAGAAAAATCAATGATGGATCAATACTATCTACTAAACTTGAAGTGTTAATAATAGAGGAGGCTCTCTTGTGATGTATTCCTCTTACGTTTCCCTGTTTTGATTTTTAATCAGAAGCCTTTTATTTATGATGGTTTACATTAGATGGTGTAAATTAAGGACAAACAAATTGAATACTTCTGGATTTATAATATTCTTGAAGCTAATAGATTTCTGAATAATGTTAACCAAGGTATGTACATTTCCAATTTAAAAGGGGACAGGTTCTGTCTAAGAAGAGGAAAATCTTTATTTCTTGTTCCGAATTTTCTTTCTGGTACAGCTTGTCCTTCTTAAGGAAGTCGAGAAGATTCTATTTTCTATATAAGGTTAGGTTTGTTCTCTCAGGCTGGACATAGCTTTGTGTTTGGAGCTAATCCAGGGGGTTAGGTAATCAACTAAGTGTGTAGCTCTTACTTGGGGCCAAAGGGATTCAGTTTCATGCCAGTAGATGATGCATTGTTCTCATCTGCTTCATAATTTGGTTTGATTCAATTGTGGTAATCGTTACTATGTTGGAACATGTGGTCTTTGCTTCCTTGAATCCTTTCCATGTCAAATACCAGCAGGATGGCTGTATAATGCAGCTTTATTGCCTTTGGTGTGCTTATCAGTGGGGTTAATTGTATGACTGATTTTGTAGCAATCACTTTTCAAAGCTTTTTTTTTCTGTCCTATGGGGGCCGTTTTAGTTTTAATAGTTAGTCTTATTTCTAGCTGTGGTTTTTTTCTGATTTTGTTCTATTTCAGAGTCACAATTGGATGTGTTTCCTGATCATTTAGATACCTTAACTTGGCTCATTTATGCCTCAGACTGATAGATCATGTCCAGCAGTATCTCACAGCAAATAGTGATATCTCTGTGTAGCTTCTCTGCTATTTCCTGTTTATTTTTTAACTCTTTTTTTCTCTCTCTTTTTCTCTCTCTTTCTTCTTCCTTTTTTAGGATAGTGGAGGCAGTGTGCATCGGCTGGTTTACAGCTGAGTGCATAGTGCGCTTTCTGTTGGCAAGAGACAAGTGCGACTTCATCCGCCATCCGCTGAACATCATCGATGCGATTGCCATTACCCCCTACTATGTCACCATGGTGATGGCCGGAGCTGGGATGCCGGGTGCTGGTCTCGGGGTCGCTGGAGTGATGCTGCGCGTGTTGAGGGTGATGAGAGTGTTCTGGCTGATGAAGTTGGCCAGACACTTCCTGGGCCTGCAGACTCTGGGGCTGACGCTCAGGCGCTGCTACAGGGAGATGGTCATGCTCATGGTGTTTGTTTGCGTGGCCATGGCGATATACAGTGCTCTGGCACAGCTGTTAGAGCACGGCTTGGACTTGGACTCGAAGAACCAGGACTATGCAAGCATCCCTGCGGCTGCCTGGTGGGTCATCATCTCCATGACTACAGTTGGGTACGGGGACGTATATCCAGTGACGATTGGTGGACGTGTTCTCGGGGGAATGTGCGTAGTTAGCGGGATTGTTCTCCTGGCCCTGCCCATTACATTCATTTACCACAGCTTTGTTCAGTGCTACCATGAACTGAAGCTCCGCTCTGCCAGATATGCACGAAACGTGTCTTCAGAGATCCTTCAATGAACTCAGATAAATGCCAAATCAAACAGAGACACAGCTCAGAAGATATCTAGGAAATACCAATTGTGTGACCTAACCTGTTTCCTTGCTTTAGCAGTTTAATGTTGTTGTTTGATATAGTCCCTCCCTTCTGTAGATTTAATGATCGCTGCATTGTTTTTAACCAGCAAACAGTGTGACTTAAACCAAATATTCAGAATACTTTGAATTACCGGCAGTAATAAATACCTTACCTGAGGTAAACAGTAGACACGTTTATAAGCCCCACTTTCAGAGGAAAAAGCAGCGGTCCCAAATTCCAGCTCCCTGTGGGCCAGAGTCCTGCAAAGTTTATTTGCTTCTATGCGTAAACACAGCTGATAGTAGCTTCTTTGTGGAGCTTGACTGCTTCAGATGATATTTAGCCATTTTTTCAAGTGTGTAGAGTAAGAGACACATCTTAGAGTTGCAGGACACCGTCCCTCACACTGAGTACATATCATTTACGGTCATGTGAAAAAGTACCTCTCCCTTCAGATTTCTTGTTTTTTCCACACATGATTTCAGATTCTAAAACAAAAGTTAATATCAAAAATAACCTGAACACACAACATTTGAAAGTGAACATTTGATTTATTATGGGGAAAGAAGCTATCCAAACCAGTTTGACTTGTGTGAAAAAGGTAATTACCAGACTGGCAATTAGGGACTCTCTTGCTTTACAGGTTTGTTTGTTTTTTCATTTCACCTACATTTTAGAGCATGAACGGCTTGTTTAAGTGCATCTCAATTGGATTTTAGCTTAAAGTTTGTTCTGGCCACAACAAAACTTTGTATATGTTATATTCTGTTAGGCATCCAAAGTTGTGCCTTGGATCATTGTCCTTTTGCAGGACCTCAGTGTGCTTAACCCTAATGTCAGGAACTGATTACATGAACTGTATCATGGAGATAGGTTACATACATCAGCAGACAATCACAGAGGTGGTAGCCTCATACCATTACACTACCACCACCATGTTTGAATATTCATAGGATCTTTTTTTCTCATTTTATCTGTTTGTGTAACAAGATGTACACCTTGACTCAACAAATTATTTTCAAAAAAATCTTTGGCTTATCAACAGTTTTTTGTTTGCTTGCTTTTTTTTTTTTTAGCAAAGGTGAGATAGGCTTTTGTTTGTTTTTATCCATCAGATCAGGGTGGTATGTTGCTCTCCTATAGAGGTCATTCTTACCCGGTCTCTTTCTTATGTTGCATCATAAACACTGAGCAGAACTGAGGCAAGTGAGGCATTCTGTGCTGGAGAATAAGTTTACTAAGTAAACATTTACCAGGAAAACCATCCTCTGTTCCATTTTTTTTAAATCCATTTGTAAAAAAGTACTTTAAGAATAAATATAAATACCAGAAATTATCTCAAAATCCTTTCCAGACTATTAGATACATGTGAGTTTGTTTCCTATCTCTTTATCTTGAATTTCTTTCAATCAGAAAATGATGAGTTGCTTTTTGAGATCTTCAGCTTAATTCTGCTGGTCTGGCAGGTTTGGGTGTGACCAGGGCAATTTGTTTGAACTTTTCGGGTACAGCAATGTAGTAAATTTATGATCAAGTTGGGTCTTTTTAAGACATGTCCAGGTTTGTTTGGATAGCTTATTTCCCGTAATGAATGTATCCACTATTTGGAAAATATCTTTTCAATTATTTAGGAACAAGTTGAGTCTTTAAAACATGGGTCCACGTCATGTTAGACATCTTTAATTTTGCAACTTGATTTTATTTTCATCCAGTCACAGATAAAATTAAAAACAAGTTGCTAAATAAAAGATGTCTAACATGATCCATGTTTTAAATTTGATCCAAGTCACAGACTTGAGTCACCATCTCTGGCAGACAGAAATCACAAGCTTTGGAGAAACATGGAGACATTCTCACAAAGCAGTAAAGCTCATGGTCAGTTAGAGCGGATTTAAAAACGTCACATCGATACAAGGATACCCTATAAAATGGACTGTCAGGAATATTTTAACAGAGTTTACCGTTTCCTCTCAGTCCAAATGTAACTTACTGAGAAAGTTTAATGAAAACAGTCACAGAAAAGTGAAGATGTGAAAAAACAAACACAGCAGCTTGTTTTGCATCACTTCATCTTTAGGAGGTGTATTTGAAAATCCCAATTTTAGGGAACAGAGGAAGGTTAATTGTAGAAAATGAAATGTTTTGATAAAATAATCAAAATGTGGAGAATACCAAGACTTAGCAGAAAGATACGTCTTTTCTTCAGATATATATTTTTTTAAATCACAGCTGGTACAAACATTAGTTCCCCTAGCAGTATAACCTTACTTCTGGGTTGATAATACTATGTAGTTGCTTCTTTTTAGTGAAACTTGATTTTCTGTTTCCATGGGATTTTAAAATGACATGGCATATAACTAATTTATTTAATTTATTTAAAGCTGCAGGCAACTGGACTGAACCCAGTCAATATATGTTTTGTTTTTTTTAGTCACCAAGCCTGTTTCCATCATATAATTACCAATGCAAGCATGCGGAGGTGGCTATATTAAGTGGGCCTTAAATGGAACAAACACTCCAGGAGGGCTTGATGTGAAACAAAGTAAGAATATATATGGAAAACCACTTCATACCCGCTGTTAGCTGAATATGGAAGATCTGTCATGTTGACCTGATTTTCTTTCAAAGGTCTTGGATGTTTTTCAAAGTGCATGGTATTAAAAAAGGAGGAATGAGGAAATTTTAAACAACAACCTACCAGACTCTCACTGTATGCTGAGAGATGATGATTGTTTGGTCTGTTAAGGAATAATAGTCATAATATAGAGCCAAATATACACCAAAAAACAAAACCACACTTCTTTTTTAGCCATTATAGTCACAAAACATAAATCCTATAGGGAACCTGTGGGCTGTGCTGGTGAGAATAGAGGATATTGGGAATAGGCTCATGGGAGAATATTTAGTGATCCTCTATGTGCAAAAGGAGTATTTTTTAAATTATTAACAGCAGTAGGGGCCATTCCAGGTTTCTTTCTTTCTTTCTTTCTTTCTTTCTTTCTTTCTTTCTTTCTTTCTTTCTTTCTTTCTTTCTTTCTTTCTTTCTTTCTTTCTTTCTTTCTTTCTTTCTTTCTTTCTTTCTTTCTTTCTTTCTTTCTTTCTTTCTTTCTTTCTTTCTTTCTTTCTTTCTTTCTTTCTTTCTTTCTTTCTTTCTTCTGCTAGAGCAATTATCTCCTAACATAGATTTAGCATTTTCTTTACCATAAAAATGCTGGATTATGGTACCTTTCTCCAGTGGTTATTTAGTGGACAGGTTGACAGTCCCTTTTAAGACAACCCTAGATATTATTTCTATAGGGATGGACCTCTGGGCTGTATGTACTAAAGAAGAGTATACTTCCTTTCTGATATCTGTCACCAATACAAGCTGTTATGCCAGAGCCTCACCTGGGATGTATATATGGCATAGGAGGATATGAATACATCTTTTTTTCTGTTTTATCACACTTGTTGCTTGCCCAAAGAAACATAAACTAAAGTCTCCTCTACCACCGCAGTCATTTTGAAAAGGATTTACAGAAATCTCTATCTGGCTCAGTCAGGAATTACTTGAATAACGTTAAAAAAAGAAACAGGAGTTAAATCTTTGTAACTGAAAAGTATTGGTGACTTGAAAAGTAGGATGGACTGTTTGAGAAGTGAATTTACAGAATCTGTTGCACCAGACATTTAAAGGCTGAACAGCTTTAAGGAGCAGCTAATGACTGCTATTACTGCTGAATAATTTATCCATGTTTCTCCAAACCTCTCTTCTATGGGTAAGTTATCAACAACTTAGAGCTATATGTGTATGACTCCGCCTGGTCTGTACCTTTAAGAGCATGGCTTGGAGAACACTAACAGAATATTTATTAGAGAGAAAGGGAGAGACAGGTAAAGCCTGTCCTATTTCTCCGTATTTGCTGTTTACTCCGTATCCCCATGGTTACAGATCAGGCAGAGATGGCTGCATTGGTTGCAGCGTGTGTGTTTGTCTAGCTGTCGGTCGCTCAGTTTTTCAGAGCTTTAAACCCAGATGGAGCAAGTTACACAAGAATGATGTGTGACCTAGATGTATCCCGAATAATAATAATGTCGCGAATAATGAAATATGGACTGGGGTCAGAGAGGGACCATGAAGTTGGGGGGCAATAAAAACAGAAACTTACCTCAAGGCAGAAGGAGAACGATATGGAGGAAACAAAAAAAAAATGACAAAGCCTGATCACAAAGATTGAAAAGCTGCTTCTTTATTTGTCAGTGAGATTGAGGCATTTTGTGTTTCTCTGTCTCCAAGGCAACCTCATCCTCCAACATGCCAATCATAAGCGTGGTTGATTTCTATGCACACAAATAGACTGCAGCCACGCACACCTCCTGGTTGGTGCACAACATTGTTGTCCTGGGATGAAAAAAAATGTAAAGCAAACTTAGTGAAACTTGAGTGCAAAATAAAAAAAAGGAGTGTTTTTTTTGGGGGAAAAAAAAGAGCATCCAAGGCTGTCACAAATGATGCTTCTGACATCAGTAACATGTTTATGGCATTCTTTGCCAAGATGATACGATTTGTTGAACAGACACATGATCCAAACAAACAAGTCAACACCTCTCCCACACAACAGTCTTTCTCTGCATCTCCTCTCCTTTTCCTCCTGTTCTCATTCTCTTTGTTACACGCATGCACATTGATTTCTGATTCTATATTTATTTGGCTAATCAAATGAAATGTTTATGTCTATCTATGTGTTTGGAGCACAGCTTTAGCTGCTGTAAGATAGTCTTAAGTGTGTTAGGCATATTGAATATTCCTGTTGCTATTCCTTGTGTGCTTTTAAAGCTCAGCAGCTGTCTCAAAATTAAACTGAATATTTCATGAGCTGAGTTCTGATATATAAATCACGTAGCGTTGTTTACAGGTTGAAACCATCAATCAGAACTATTTCCATCACGGCTCATGATTAATGTGATGTATTGAGCTTTTTTTAATAAAACCTCTTATACGTAACACAAATGTGTGTAATTGATTATTTCAAATTACATCATGAGACGATTTTTGACCAGACAAGAGTGTAATTTCCCACTTTATCGCGGTAAAGTAAACATGAATGGCATCAGATTTTTTCACAGTTGTACTTTTTTTGACAATGTTTTAAAACCATGCATTGATTTTATTCAACTTGACAGATTTGCACTACCATTATGTTGGTTTCTCATATAAAATCTCAATTAAACAAAATAAAGGCTTGTGGTTATTATCTGAAAAGATTTACTGGATAATGATATTGTTACAAGTCTCTTTATGTTTCAAGACTCCATAATCTGGCTGTTCAAACCACGCTCATCTTCATTAGATGAGGTGTCAAATCTAATTACTGTCTGTCTATAGAGCCGCATGACATGATCCTCGGGGGAGATGGATTTCTCCGGGTCGCTGGTGGCCCCTAATTTAAAAGTGATGATGTAACCCTTAGCTAAAAATAACTTGTATTACTGGTTCATGTTGGCACTGAATTTTAACATTAGATATATGAACACCTAAGCCTCATAGTGCTCTGCTTGGAGTCATGATGTGGTAAAAGCTGCTCCACTGCTTCTCTTCCAAAGAGCTGTAAAAAAAAATCCTAATAAAATGACAGAGGCAAAATTATTGCCCCCAGAGTTTAAACTTTTCAAAAACCTATTTCCTGTGTGTCAGATATTTTTTTCAAAACTGGATTTCCCTTCATTTCTCACATTTATTGCTTTAAGGCATGTCTCTCTGTGGTGGTTTAGTTCAAGTTGGTTTTTAGAGAAAACCCAGTATATATATATATATATATGTGACATAAAGCCCTTCTCTATTTTAATAGAATAATCTCACACAAAAAGATATGCTGCAGTTCTACCGTGAACTTTGCAGATTTTTCCTTTTTCCTCCTTATTATCCTCTGCACTGTGATATAGCCTTACACTATTTGTGTAAAGATATATTCATACCTTTAGGAAACAGTAAATATAATAATTAAACTTTATTGATCTCACATTGGAGAAATTTACCTCTGCATTTAACCCATCCCCTTGGGGAGCAGTGGGCTGCCATTATGCAGCGCCCGGGGAGCAGTGTGGGGGATAAGGGTCTTGCTCAGAGGCCCAGAGTTGCAGTCTGTGGGAGTGGAGCTTGAACTCAGAACCTCAGGATTCCAAGCTCTATGCCCTAATCACTTGGCCACCAAATGAAAAGCTTCTAGACAATCAGATTGAATTAAAGAACTAGCCTTTATGTGTCACATAAACACTTCAAAAACATCACATAGATTTCAATTCACTTAAATTTAAAATTTCAATCAGTATGCTTTATATCTCTGTTTCCATTTCACATGTTTTTTCAAGTTGTTGTCAATAGTCTGTTTTTGTCTATGTAAAAAAAAATAAACAATGTGCATCATGTCATTTGAATCTAATTACTATGTACAGTAGCACATTTCTATTTAATTAATTAATCATGGTACAGATATATCTTTCGTATGCTTTAAAATTGCCCTTACTGTATAGATGCTTTTTCTTTTTTTTCATGACTATATTATTTACTATTATTATCCAGATGCTCCATTTGCTTTTTATTTTGGTGCGGGTATGCTTGATTTTCTTATAATGACATTGATGTATGTTCCAACTGCGACATAGCTTGTGATAAATAATGTGATTACATTCTTCTGCTCTGTGTTCATTTCAAACATACATCCCAGATAATTAAATGTCTATCAAGAATCTGGGGAAAATGAAACCTAATTAAAGATTCCCTTTTTAGCAAACAAGTTTAATGGAAATCTTTACTTCTGGTCAATTACCTTTTTTGAGATAGAAAAATAGTTGTCTTAGTTTCCTAATTGATTTATCATCATTTCACCTCTTTACGCTCTTTAACCTTTTTTTCTCTGGATAAACAATAATTTTCATCTAATATTTTGCTAATATAGAGAGCCTTAATGCATAGTACTTAGATAATGAGCTTAGGTGTAAAGCAGTCTAAGCAGTTTTTTTTTTATTAAATGCCTTTCACAGTTTTGTGGTTTAATTTTTGAATATTATTTATACTATACAGCACTTTATACTTAACAATAATTTACTACTCTGTGGTGGTCTTTTCTGGAAATGCCAGTGGAACACATTAACAACCGTAAAACCGGAAAATTAGAAGTGAAATTCATTATTTTTTAGATTGAATATTTTGTCTTTAGAGAATTTTTGAGTCACTTTAAAGTCAGCTAGCATCAG